AAGCAACTGATTTTTCCCATATGGTTTGTTACTTTATTATATATTATTATTATCAAAGGGATTCAATAGTCACCAAGTCAACCTGTCTTAAGAGCAGTAATAATATAATAAGTCTGAGTAGGTAAATGACCGAATGACCGAAAGCAATCAATGAAAATCGAGATGGAAATTCATTCTAGGTATAAATACCTATAATACTTTTGAATATTAACATAAACATCTGTCTTTATTATTGACTTAGGCAGCTGACACCTCGATCGCTGTGTTTTCTTTACCATATATTTTTTGTTGTCATTCTCCATAAGTTTGAAATATACCATATTATTTAATTAATTAGTCAAGTCGGACATGAGAGGGTAATTAGGCACCCGCCTAGGTAAATAATCAACCAAATCCTAGTTTTACTTGTCGATTACACTTTATAAGTACGACCTAGGTAGGTATATTTATCTTTAAGATTTCGCCCCCCCCCCCCAGAAAATTGTCCTTAGGGCGCATATGCCTGCAAATCATTGATATAACTTTTCTTAAGAAATACCTGACCATAGACCATGATATACTAGGTATGAATTTTATAATCCAATATTCTCTACAATCTACCAAGTACAAGAATCAATAAATTGTCACTTATTCAGATGGAATCCATCACACTGTCCTGATTCAAATTGCAATCTTGATTTTTGAACAGGAAAATGCAAAGTGTAATACCGGCTTTAGGCATTTTGACCTTGGTATTGCTTCTCTATGAGTCAAAGATTATCTATCAGTAGCGCACCTGTAGGGTTGTCTATAGGTACTAATGATTCTTTAACTAATTAACTATCTATACCTACCTGATTATATTTACCTGCTCATTCTAAGTGGATAAAACTACGAGGGAAGCAAATCTTTCGGCAAATCTATTGGGTTAAAAATATATCAGTTTACAATTTGGGATTTGGAGTAGTTTTGGGGGTTCCAATTTTCTGACAACAAACTTACCGGATCCAAATCTGATTCTTCCCACAACTCCTTCAGTTCTCCCATGTCATAAAAAGACTTATCCACCGCGAAAGTTTCCATGATCACGCCGAAAACTCACAACTTCCAAAACCGGCTCAAAATATCCGAAAAATCAATAGCTACAATCGCGCGTTCTAAAAAGTGAATGCACTTCACCAACCACTGGTTCAGAGTCTGCGGTTCCGATATACTTCCATATGGACGCACCTTCAGGGACTCGACCGAAAAAAGATAAACATGCGGGACTCCAAAACCGAGGAACACGCCCCCTTTGCCGTTTTGTTTTCTATGCCGTCGATATCACTCGACGCTACAGCTCTAGATTTATGATATTCCGGAACGCGACCGGCAACCTGTTGAAACGCTCCGATGCGGATGTCTGTGAAATTTCTGCACGCGGACGCACCGTCCGTAACCTTTCTGCCGCAAGGGTTTCAATCGAAGTGAGCGTTGGCGACCACGAGCGCACCGGATTCAGTCAAGTAGGCAGTGGAAATTCTCGCTTGTGGAATGCATCGAAAAGCCGGCATTTGTTCTGAACGGAGGTTCACCAACCACGCCGCGAGTCGTGCCATGGCGAGCGCAAAGTAGATGCGCGGCGATAACAGGGTCGCGATAGTGGTGAATGAAAAATTAATTGAATGAAAGAATCAAAATGGAATTGACGCAAACGGAAACGGGCCCTTTCTCTACTGCTGTTCAACGTCTATGGCGCACTGGCGCGGCATCCTTTAACGTAGATAAAGTAAAGTACCTACCCAGACAGCACTGGATATTCCTAGAATATTTCTCTAAATATGCTAAAAGAGAAAAATATATTCCGAATATCCTTAGAATATTCTTAGAATATATACGTGCCTCTGGAACATTCAAAGAATATTCAAATGTGAATATTCTAGTAATATTCCAAAATGAATATACGAGGAATATTCCAGAAGGAATATACTAAAGTGACTCTTCCTAGAATATTCCAGTTGGATAGTGCGGGGAATATTCAGGTATGAATATTACAAGAATATTCCCATCTGAATATTCTGTTCCTGTATATTCATGGAATATTCCAATAATAATCCCATGTGTTTCAGTGAAATTGTAAAGTATGGAAATTAACCGATCTCTAATTTTTAGATGTGAGTCATTGATTTTGATATCTGTGGCAGAAGTCCATCGTATTCCAAAGTAAAGTGGTTATATTACCAGGGATCAAAAACACAAAAAGTCGTCTCCACAATTTTGATAGGTAGTGATCAAAGTACTCAAAGATCATCGTACATGATAAGAGCCCATATGGAACTGGAAGTGTTCATGATCCGCTTCTGAACAACGCAAATCAATGAATTGTTATGTATAATATTATTCAACTCGATTACTGGCCTAGTGGTTAAGGCGTTGATCTGACAGTCTGAAAGTCCCGAGTTCGAGCCCATCTTGGGTCAGCTTTTTTCATTTATGAATATGTATCAAGGAATATTCCCGGAATATTCATTTTTTTATATTCCTGTATTATTCTTGGAATATTCCGGATATTATCTGAATATTCCTAGATTATTATAGGTACATTCTGAATATATTAGGGAATATTCATCCTGTGATATTCCGGGAATATATTAAATTTTCCCCACCAGCACATTCAGGGAATATTCCATAGATGATATGTATATCCCTGGCATGTTCATGAATATTCGCAATATCCAAAAAGAATATTCTATGAATATTCATGGAATATCTAGTGCTGTCTGGGTACTTTTTCGAATCTTGGAGGAAGTTCATCAATGGCTGATCAGAGGGCTGATAGGTATTTCTATAATCACACCACTGGCTTAAAAAAATATCACCAGCAGTTAAAACACCATGTATACTATGTACCTATACATAGGAGGACGATTCCCAAGATTGGCACAGTGAACTCTGGAGCAAATAGATAATATCGACTTTCTCTGTACATTATGCGATGACTAGGGACAAATATGGAAAAAAAATCAACTCTACCTACCTATAGCAAGTTCAAGTTCAGAAACACAAACGAACATACCTATTTATTTTTAAATGTGTGGCTTTTCAATAAGCCAGTTCATCACTATTTTTTATTTTTGCTGAGCATATTACTTATTTCAGAACAATGTTTTTTGACGCTTATAGGAAAATATTCGTTTGTAACTCGTGCGCAAGATACTTTAATGGTGATCTCGACTATTAAAAAAATCAGCTCACGGTCACAAAAGTAGCATTTCGCGCACTGGATGCAAAAATATCTATTTGCTTCCAAAGATATCAAAAAATTTAGAATACGAATATTTGCCTAATATACAGTATGTCTGAAGAAGTCAGCAACAAATGGAAAACTTTTATTTTTATATAATTCCTCGTTGAATTTTCTGCAAGCTCTAAAAATGAAGATGCAAAAAAGTCTCGAAAAAAGTTTTCCATATATATGAATCGATATTAAAGAAATGGTAACAAAAATTAAAACCTCATATATTTATCATAGATAGATGTAATTGGAGATTTGAATTTTCAATTGTAGTAAATTTTTCTCCATAACAATTTTGGATATTGTTGAAAATAAAGGTATAATACATAGTATTTGTAGTATTTGTTATTTGAAATCATCGCAAATATTTTTTTTTCAATAACTAAATCCGGCGACTTTGAGAAACGCAAGGTTCGATGACGTCATGAACCGAATTCTGGCTTTCACCATCACATGAAAAGTAGGACCACATATTTCGACGCTGCCAGATTTGTAACTAGCAATTACCTTATGAGATTCAATATGACTAATATATGGCAATAGTATTCACATTAACAGAAGACAATAGTTCGACCTGGTCCCTGATAATCACTCATTGACAATTTCTATACTTGCAAGATGCTTTAGTAAATAGATAAAAATATCCTAGTATTCCTAATAATGATCGAGATTTCATTTAATCCCAAAATATTTTGTGGCACGGGCAACAGTGTAATGCATAAGTTCCCAGAAATACATAAAAAGAAGAAGAAGACAAACTACATTGTTAACCTAATTCCTTGACGTTAATACCGGCTATCACCTTCATCATCAAATCCTTGTTTCATGCGAATTTTCAAAGATAATTAATCCTCATATTAGTCATATCTTATTGTGTGTTATGTTCTCTGTTATCTGAAGTAAGTATTTAATCCAGAAAAGTAATCCCATATCCTGATTGGAATGACAATAAGAAATATTCTTGTACTGGTCTATCAGAAATAGAGAATTGCGAGGAGAATTGATAGGTAAGTGGAATCTTATATGGTGTTCTGGGATTATTATGTCACGCGTTTTTCCGCGTTTTTGATTAATGAAATAAAATTTGTCACTTCAACATTTTGATATTTGCATTATATGTTTTAGGCCTAGGGGAATTTATAAGGAAGCATTACTTTTTTCCTATAATTGATGATAAAATAGTTTTCCATTTGTTGCCAACTTTTTCATACATACTGTATAAGGGCTTTTAGGGTGTCGATGGTAAGAAATGTTCCGAAATGTTCATAAGAGGGTATTACCCATTGATCAAATTTTTGATATCACTGTTCAAACCAATTAATCAAATTATGACCTGGTACACTATTTGATTTAGACCAATTTTTCACCCAAGAAGCCCTATAATTTACTGATTTGTGCTAGGATTTTTGTGATGTAATCTCTCTGTATATTTGAATTTAAAAAGATCTTGAAGAAATTATGTAAAAATATATGAGGGAAGATGCACACCATGTAATTTTAAATTAGGTATATATCATTTTTGTAATAAGTGTATGGCTCATGGACCAGAAGTAGAATGAAATATAAAAACAACATAGTATTATCATGAACATCCTGTAATTTCCTTGAAAATGGAAAACATGAACTTTATTTTCAATCACATACTCATGAATGTATCAAAAAAGTTTCAAATAAAATACTGGCAAGTAGAAGTAATTGATTTGACTCATTCCAGTTCAGGTTTTAGGAACTAAATTATTGCCACTACCTATTCCTCATGAATATTGAACAATTTTGCCACCTCATTCAAATCCTCATATTTCCGCTGATCTTTCAAGACTTGCCGGGCGGTAGACATCCTGTTGAAAACGTTCCACAAAACAATCCCAACGATAATGTCATTCCTCAAATAAAAAATAACTCCTTTTCCAAAATCCTCACCCTCAGCCTTATCAGCAACACTTGAATGCTTCCTTGACTCAGCCGCCTCAGCCTTTTGTTCTTCTGTCAAATACTTGTCACACTCTGGTGGAACTTGTTCAATATTGGATCTGATGCCCTCATCAGTAGCAGTCACTAGGGCTTTAGGGCTGTCTTTATCAGTAGCCTTTGCAAAGACAGCCACCGTTGGCAAGGTTGAATCAACAATTCCAATGGCTTCATAGCCGACATCAGGCCCTAAGTCTGACCAGAACATGCTTTGGTGCAGGTATGGCTTTCTGGCACCTGTCATGTTCTCACCTGCCAAACGTCCTGTCACTACAGAATGGTCATGGTGTTCGATGCGCCTGCGCCCTAAACGGGGATCATAGAAGCAAGCACAGTCGCCGGCTATATAAAGGTCTGTTCTAGCTTGGAGTTCAGTGTTGACCAAATATCCTCCTAGATCAGGATCAACTTCTAGATCGGATTTTGGGGCTAGGTCGGTATTTGGTTCAACTCCAACAGCTACAATAGCGAAATCAACAGTTAGAGTTTTTCCATTATTTAGAGTGAGTTCTAGTCCATTGTTCTCAGTTTTCACTCCTACAACTTCAGTTTGAGGTAGTACATAAACACCTTCAGCTTTCACCTTTTCTGTTGTCCAGAAGCTCAAATATTCTGGTAAGATTTTGCCCATGTTTCCTGCTTCTGGGAATAACTGGTATATCCTCTTTGAATGCTTTTTGTCTTTTCGTGCCATGGCACAAGCCAACTCACTCCCAAGAAATCCTCCTCCTATGATTGCTATACTTTTGGAGTCATTGAACATCTCTAATGTTTCCTCAAAATCATAAACGTTCCTGTATGTCTTAACCAGTTCACTCAGTTTTTCATCAGCTATAGCCACTTGGAAAACAGGTGATAGTTTGGGTTTAGCACCAGTGGCTAGGAGGCACTTTTCATATTCGATGACTGATCCATCATCTAGGTAGGCTTTTCTCTCTACAACATCCAATTCAGTGATGGTCCATCCTCTGGCCACAGCTACACCACCATTTGGGCTTCCCATCAGCTCCTTGCATTCCACATAGAAATCATCTGGCTCATAAAATAAACTCCTTTCTGATCCATTCCATTGCTTGAAAATAAGCTTCTTCACTGAATCTTTATCATCATTGAACCATATTTCTTTAGATAGTGGTGGTCGCATGTAGGGATAGAATGATTCATTTGAGATAACCAAAACTTTGGCTTGTGGGTCAGAAGATTTGATGGCACGAAAAGCAGAAAATGAAGCAGTACCTCCACCTATCAGCAAGTAAGGTACCTTTTTTGGTATATCTTTGGAGTTTGCTGGTGTTTTGATAATGGCACGTTTTTTCTTTCCTTTGCTTGTCTCTTTCTTTTCTGTCTGTTTTTCTGTTTTATATTCCAAGGGGCTCACAAACCACACTGCGCCCATTGTCAGTGCCACTACCAATAATCCCAATAAAAAAATTGTTTTGTTTCTGCTCCTATGTTTTCCATCATGTTCTTCATATCCACATTTGGGATCAGGAATTTCACTCATCAAATTGGGGGTAGGACAGTCTTTGATGGAAGGGATTTTTGAATTACAGTTCACAGGAGAACTGAGTGGGTTTATATCTAAAGGTTTGCATTGCCTAAGTTTCAAATTGCTGTTTTCTTTATTGGTGTCCTGGGATGGGTTGGAACATGGATGGGTTTGAATGGCATCCTTTTCTTTGGATTTGTCTCCTCCTGCCTTATTGTTGCCATTGTTTTTACTACTGCTATATAAACAGCTTTGGATGTGGAAATGTGACTTTTTTGTCCAAGCAGAGATCACTGTTTTTGTATTATGCAATTTTGGAGAAGTGAATATCTTTGATAAATGTACAACTCTTGACATCTTGCATTCAATTTTCGTGATCCTGAATGAAAATCACATGAAGTAGATGTTGATGGACTTGATGGAATGAATTTTTGAAGGATATTATCAGTTTTTGACAATGATTGAGAGCGGCAACCTACAATAAAATTCACCATTCACATTCTTTTTTACTGACGGATTTCCGCATTTGAATCTTTTCATTTCATGAAAAAAGTTTTATTGGTTATTATCAGTCAATCGTGTCTGTCGTATTCATTGGCTCATTGCAGTCGATTTTGATGATTGACTGATTGAGGGCTGATTGGGCAATGGCTTATATGGCATAGATATGATATGATATATGAGTAGAAGGTAGAAGAATGAGAGAAGCAGAAGGACGATGCCAATGACAGAATTGACAGACTTTAACCTAAAAACGAGTCCTGCCAAAGTCAAAGTGGAACTCCAAGTTTCCATGTGTTAATGTGTTGAAAAAAACTTTTCTCAAGATCTTTCATTTACAGATTTAACAGTTTGTTATTTCGTTTTTGTTTTGTCTGATATTGAATTGCTATCGGAATGCCTACAGGTACAAGGTATATTTTCTAACAGTCTATCTAATTTCCTTAACATAAATGTTGTTTTTGTTTCCTTAGGGTTTCAGATGAAGATTACAGCCCATCTGAATCAGACGAAGATTACACAGAGAATGAAAAATTGTTGCTAGAAAATGTTAGAAGGGGTCGCCAAGGCTATTCTGATGAAGAAGTAAAAAACAAACTACAAGATCAATCATTGGATGTGGAATGATTCAGGGTACTTTCTGTTGTAGGATGATATTCTGGGAGTAGCAGTTGAAGAATCTGAGAGTGATGACCAAAGTGACATAGCAGTAAGTGATGTTGAAGGACAAGAAGATGATGATTTACCAGATGTTAGAGCTTGGGGAAAAGATAAAAGGAAATTTTATAAAACAGATTATGTTGATGAGGACTATGGTGGCTTTCAAGGAAAAGATGCTCAGCTTGCTGAACTGGAAGAAGAAGAAGCTAAAAATTTACAGAAGCAGCTTGCTCAACAGTTAGATGATGATGATTTTGGGTTGGAGTTTTTTGCCAAGGTAATTCAAGTTTTAGTCTTAACTACTATTCTCAAATACATTTTGATTTGCTAGAAACCTGAAGAAGAAGAAAAACAGGATGAAGTAGTTATAAAAACAGATTTGTCCATGTTGTCCAAAAAACAAAAAATACAAATGTTGGAAAAAGAATCACCAGAATTATTTAGCTTATTAGAGGACTTCCAAGGTAATAAACTTTGAGAAAAATGCTAATTTGTTTTGTTCTCATTTTTCTTTTTTAGTGAAAATGACAAATGCTAAAGACTACTTGTCTCCTGTCCTACATAAATACAAAAAAGGAGAAATATCCAATTGCAAAGCCATTGATTTTGTTCAAACCCAGTATGAATTAACATTGAAGTAAGTTATTTTCACAAATACATTACTTGTAACATATTACATATCTATTTGCAGCTACTGTACAAACATATACATGTATCTCCTTCTGAAATCCAGTAAAGTAAATATTCAAAATCACCCAGTCATCAAAAGATTATTCCAGTATCGTCAACTGTTATTACAGCTTGAACCTGTTTTTGAAGAAATTATCAAACCCCAAATTGAACTACTAGTCAAAGCAGTGAGTATAGAATTGAATTGAAATTTAATTTTGAATTCACCAGCTAGAGAGACATAACACATTTTTCATCAGGAAGAACCTAGTGAGGATCCTAGTGGTGACAACAAAAGCAATAAAAAGAGATTGAAGCTTCTTTCATCTATTGTTCAGAAAATTCAGCCCCCACAACTGGATAAACCCAAAGAAATTCCTACTGAAAAACCTAAGAAGACAGTTAAATTTGAAGGTATTATTGACAAAATAGAGGTACCATCTGATGATAAACCAGAAATAGGAGATTCTTCTAATGATGATGATGCTGAAATGGATATGGAGGAAGTTGACAGTCAGCAAGACACCATAGAAAATAAGAATGGTGAATAAATCTAGACTTGCTTATGTATGGACCTATATCTAATATATATTTTTTTAGAAAAACGTCCTATTACCTACCAGATGGCTAAGAATAAGGGTTTGACACCTCACAGGAAGAAAGAATTGAGGAATCCAAGGGTTAAACATAAGCTTAAGTACAGAAAAGCTGTTATCAGAAGGAAGGGAGCTGTAAGTATAATTCATAAATTTCTAAAATGATGACTATTGATATAATGAATCTATTGTTATTAATATTCCAATATTTCAGGTGAGAGAACCAAGGAAAGAGCTTAGCAGATATGGTGGGGAGATTTCTGGTATCAAGGCATCAGTTTCCAGAAGTGTTAAAATCAAATCATAGTCATTTAAGCATCTTCAGCCACTTGTATGCTTTTTGTTTCCTTCATAAACGGTTTTTTTTAAATGAATTTTTGATAATCCCTTCACCTACTTTATATATACAAAGATTGTCAGATACATGATGATAAAATTCATTGTTTCTTCAAAATTAAATAATGATTTTGAAGAATGATTCATTGTTAGACTGAGACCACCTGTGTTATCGCAAAAACACTAGCTGCCTTTCAATCCTGATTGGTCTGTCAGCGTTGGTGTATTCAATGATGTAATGTAAGCATGCAAAATCGTGTTAGTTTAGCATAAAATAATTATAGATGTAGCCAGAATGAATGGCTCAATGCTTTTTATTTTTCGTGAACGTGAAATAGTCTGGCATAATATCACTCTGTTCTGAATATCTTCTCAAATGTGTTGCTGTACAGCAATTACACTCGTCCTGACGGGCTCGTGGCGTTGCTCGGTAAGTCAATTTGGTGAACAATGAGGCAACAGAAGTATCTCGAACATCGTCGTGATATTACTTTGATGATAACTATTGATGAAACAAAGGGGTAAAATGTAAAAGACAAAAGACGCTTGGTATATGTTATGATTGTTCAGTTCCGGCTTACTCATCCCGAAATACGAGGAAGGATGATTCGATATATATGTATAGGGATTATTGGTCAATCATGTCTCTGCCTAATCACGACGTGGTGACAAGGGTTTTTGGTACAATTAATATTGTCAGCGTATGGTGGTGATTGTGTTCGTGTTTGTCTTCTATATCTCGAATAAAGTTCAATAGTGTGAGATGAGTGTTATTATCATTATTCTTCCAGTGAAATTCTTGACAATAATATACATGCATTCAAAAACCAACTACCAAAATTAGATCTTTGCATACATTCCACGTAGCATTATTAATTTCCAACTATTCAAATTTGCCATATTCTAAAATTTGTAATTGAAAGACATTCGAATTTTTAATTGATGAAATCTGTTTCAATGTTTACATTCTAAAGAGACCTACTGCAAATTGAAACTAATAGTTCTACTTTCTTTAATGCATATGACATTAGAGGTTATGAATATTGACACAGAGAAGAATCTGGGTGATGAACCAAAAAGGTTGAGCCCATATCAAAGAAGTAGAATATTTCCTGGTTATGTTCTGCTGTCAAAACGACTCAAAGTGTCAAAAACATATGGTTTTGTTATTAACTTTTGAAAAATGGTTATCTCCATAAATATATCAGAAACTCTCATTAAGGTGAATTATATAATAAATAAACATAGCGGCCTCTCTAGATTATTTATTTCTCATTTCAGAGAATCACTAGAACCAAGGAAGACTGTTCTGGAAAATTATTTGGAACTTCTGATACAAATGTTATCTCCCTTCTAGCATTGCAGTCTGATATTCCAGATGCTGAAAGCTTGGAGTACTCATTCCCAACACAACTTGAATTTTGTGGAGTTTTCCAATGTGAATCTGAAGGGATTGGACATCAGAAGTTAATAGACAAACATAATGAGTTTAATGAAAAATCTGCAGTTCTCATATACAGTAAAGTGGGCTCAGAAGACCTTACTGTTAACTTGATTGAAAATGGCAAGCTCTCACAGGTCAAGTATTCTATTTTAACTGAAGAAGAAATTAATGCCTTGTTCTTGTATATTAGAGTGACAGGTAGGTTTACAAGAAATATTTCCCTGAAACCATCATAAATGAACTGAATTTCAGGACACATTAATTTACAATGTGAACTCTCTACTAATGCACTGAATGCTAGTTTCCACAACATAGAGAAAACCATTTCTTCTGGTGCTATGGTTTTCAACATTGCAAAAACAAATATCTTTCTTCTGGATAGTGAATCTGAAAATAGTGTTGTTGGAGCAAATGCTGACATGGGGGTAAATGAAATATGTGATGATTCAAATATTTTCAATGAAGAAGCTAATAGAAAGAAGAAAATCCAGGTTTCTAGACCAAGAATTGTCAATATTGATATGTTGAGACAAGTATCCAAATTTCAGAAAGATCATGCACCACTCTGCATTTTAGATAAAAGTATGTTATTCATTAGGATTTTTTTCCAGTATTCCTCACATGTTTTTGCTGTTTCAGATACAATTACAGCAGTGAATACAACAATTAAATGTGATTCCATATTGATGATCAATAGAAATACAAAAGTAGGTGAGCTTTATCCCAAATTATTGAACAGTGTTAGGAGATCTGTTAAATTGAATGAAGCACATGTATTGAATACATTGAGTGAACATGCAGTTAAAAGTGTAGCTGCACAAACATATCATTTTTATCCCAGAGAATGTGGCCATTTCTTGACTTTAATATATCCTAGAAATGCATCTGATGTATCTCTGAGTGAGTATCAAGATCTGTAATTCTGTAATTTCCAGTGACAAAATAATTATTCTAGAGTCTAAGCGTCAAATTCTTCACAAGCAACTGTTGATAGAGACTTCAGCACCTATGTTTAGAAGAGCAAATCAGTATGTTTTCAAATATAATTCAGATGGTAAACAGCCTTTGATAAATCCACATGAGGGTTTGAAATCAACAGACAATGGTAAGCAAACATTGTGAAAACTCATAAATTGATCAACAATTTATTTTTCATATACATTCCTCATTACAATTTAGCACTCTCTCAATTTCATATCAGTCAAGCGGAGCCTAGTCTTCTGGAAAAACAAAAAAAAACTGTACAAGGCATTCTCTTGAATCAGGAAATGACATAAAAAAACATTTAAATGGAATTGTTCTTGAGAAATTTTGTTATCTAATAAATATCCTCAAAACTGTTCTGCAGATTTTCATAACATTCTTGATTTTGAAAGACAGTTTATTTTTCATATATATATTTCTTATTACAACTCAACACTCTCAATTTTATATTAGTCAAGCTGAGCCTAGTCTTCTGGAAAAAAAAAACTTTGTGAGACAATCTCTTGAATCAGGATCATAAATGACATGAAAAAAACATTCAAATGGAATAGTTCTTGATTCAGTTTGAGAAAGTATGTTGTCTAATAAATCTCCTCAAAACTGTTCTGTGTATTTTCATAACATTCCTAATTATAAGACATTACTCATCAAAACCGGACTCTAAAAATGTTTTCATAATTTTTCTATTTCATTGCCAGATATGGAAAAATAAACTCTGTAGAATCAATTGTTCATAAACATTATGATTTTTTTAAATATTCTGAAAGTCTATGACCATTCACATGATGTTCCCAAGATAAAAATTGATCAGTTTCTTTTTGTGAATAATTATGAAATTTATACATCCACATTTGAGTTCCTCAACAATGGTTTTATACCTCCAGGTCAAGTTGCCCTGATCGGACTTTGCTGTTATACAGTTTATAAACTCTGATCTTGATGAGCTTGGACCTTCCAAAAATATCATTCATATGAATAAACTCATTTTGGATATCAAATCCTCATATCCTGAAGTCCAGTTATTCTTTCAGCCATTCTTCATGATATTCTCCCCATAATATAACTAAAACTATAACGAACTGACATTTGAGAATTATGATATGTAGACATACTCCTGTCATCTCGGCATTGGTTTTTGGATGTATGATAAATTGATATTCATCATACAGGATGTGGAAAGAAATTCTGAATTGAGAAAATCCAATCACTAATATGTGATTGAGGTCTATAAAAGTAACAAGTTTTCGCATTTCCCATTCAGAATTTCTTTCCACGTCCTGTATAATGAATATAAATTCATTATACATAAAAAAGCCTTCAAAATACTTGAAATACAGATCATTCCTCAATGTTGTGCACAAAATTGGAAATAGTCCAATAAATTAAGGAGGAAAAAAAGGCAAAGTTAACGTTAATTACGCACTATTTTCATCTTCCGGTTGGAAGTAGCTTTTGGTACCTCATTAAACATGAGACAAAGTTTGACTGGAAAACGCGTGCCATGGCGGAGAAAATGGACCCAAAAGACCAGAAAAATAGGTTTTCAGCCAATATCTCCTAAAATATGGCAGTTATAGAGATTTTCGGTTCATATAAAAATTGAAGTTCAGTTAATTTTCGACAAAAATGGTCCTCATCATTTTTCTCGAAAATTTGCCCGGTTTCGAGAAAAACGGCACGAAACGCACCTCGAATAATGAGCTTCTGTTGTATGCCGGAGAGCACAGTCCGTGTATTTACACATCGGCGGATGGACAAATTATTCAATAACTTTGTTAAAAATGCATATTTTCTCATGATTCAAAGTTCATGTGAAAGAGGAATTCTGCTGCTATCATACCCTGCGTGGCCGCATGGGTTGTAGCAGACGACCCGAGCGCCACGTAGAGCACACACGCGGTGAACGACGGAGGAACGAAAGTACTAAATTATAGCGTGTACATTTAGATATACTGGTTTTTTCCCGGGATATCAAAGGTATGACTTATATACATCGATGGAAAGGTGGGAATTCCCCCGTTACACTAGTTAAGGTGTTAAAATGTTAGAAATAAAGAGCACGGAGAAAAAAAACACCGAAAAAAAAGTGCGTTTTTTTCCTTGACCCCGCTTTTTCTAATTTTATTGAAAAATGGACGACTTCGTCTAAAAAAGTAATTGCACAATCGAAAAGTAGACCTTCTTAGCTTTCAAATGATGTATCATAGAAACCAATCGGATCATGTATACATTTTTAATTGATGATTGTTCACAAAATTTTCCCGCGCTCCAAAAACAGCAAAAAATGGGGATTCAATAAACAAAGATTAAATGAAAATTAAAAAAAATTAGGGTATACAAATTTCAGGGATGACAAAGGACCTTATGAGTACCCATAATCAAGAAAATTTTGAGTAAATTAGTGCAATACAAAAAAAATAGGAACAAATTTCTGGCGAGGTCAAAATTGACCGGGAGCAGAAAGTTTCGACCCATGTTCCGATATGGCCAAAAGAGTCAAGCGTGACTCAATTCACAGGGTATGATAGCAGCAGAATTCCTCTTTCACATGAACTTTGAATCATGAGAAAATATGCATTTTTAACAAAGTTATTGAATAATTTGTCCCCCCGCCGATGTGTAAATACACGGACTGTGCTGTCCGGCATACAAAGTAGCTCATTATTCGGTGCGCTTCGTGCCGTTTTTCTCGAAACCGGGCAAATTTTCTAGAAAAATGATGAGGACCATTTTTGTAGAAAATTAACTGAACTTCAATTTTTATCTGAACCGAAACTCTCTAACTGTCATATTTTAGGAGATATTGGCTGAAAACCTATTTTTCTGGTCTTTTGGGGCCATTTTCTCCGCCATCGCACGCGTTTCCCAGTCAAACTTTGTCTCATGTTTAGTGAGGTACCAAAAGCTACTTCCAACCGGAAGATGAAAATAGTGCGTAATTAATGTTTAGTTAAGTTTTTCCCTTTATTTATTGGACTAAAAATAATGAACAAAACTATTCATATCCCAAGGTGGAACTATAGCTCTCGTGAAAGGAAAATACGAATACTACCACTACTGCCAGAACAAAATGGACGACAACGGTTGGGGCTGCGCTTATCGCTCCCTCCAAACGCTAGCCTCCTGGTTCAAATTACAGGGGTACGTCGATAGAGAAGTGCCCACCTTCTCGGAGATACAAAAGTGCCTGGTCGACATCAAGGACAAACCAGCCTCTTTCGCCGGTTCGCGGCAGTGGATAGGCTCCACAGAGGTCAATTTCGTCCTCAACACTTTGCTGGGGGTGGAGAATAAGATCTTGTACGTCAGTTCGGGTGCCGATATGGCGTCCAAGGGCCCCGAGTTGGTCAGTCATTTCCATAATCATGGTTCGCCAGTTATGATAGGTAAGCGAAGAACACGAACATTTTTGTGGTATCCTTGATAATTTGCACTAATAGTCTGAGAGTCGGCTGCTAACCTGATCGTCATCTGAGGAAATGATGTACAGTGGGTTCCAGCTAAAACTTGTCACCCCCAAATCTCCCATGTCGTTAAAAAAAATTAAAAATCGCTCGGGCAGGTCGATTTCAGTTTGGCGGAAAATCTTGAATCGTTAGGGGCATCAACTCTCGATTTTCACCTGTATTTCATTGCATTTTTAGATTCTCCCTGAAGAGCTGCTTTCATCAATGCATCACACTTGGTGTCTAGCGGGAATGATTACAGAGATGTAGGATGTTCAAAATCGAGATTTTTTACCATAAGAACTTTTTTGTGTCGAAACTATTCATTATTGGTCAGAACGATTCTCATGTCCCTATCTTAACTTTTGATTCACTATCTACTGATATTTAATTTAGACGAATAAAGGGTAGTTTAAAATTCAGAATTATGCGCTTGTAAGTGCGATTAGCTGGTCTGATGTGAACCGCCCTGTATTTTGCTGAGAAGCCATGATGTTTTTTGTTGTTGGACGTTTGGAGTTGCCATGGAAAGGAAACAAGAAGTTTTCTTGTTAATGGTTTTTTCGGCGAGGGTGTTTTTGATCGCCAAGAATCGAAAGTGTAGACTTAAAAAAAAAACGTTTATTGTCCAAACAGGTGAGGCACCCAATTACAGGACATGCAAATACAGAATAAACACAGTTCATAATAGATATAAGTAAATAGATATAGGATAATACATTAATTATTATTACCTTGAGTATTTAGTTAGTGGTAGAGGTTTCTTAAGTTACTTTTAAAACAGCCAATTTTAGTTGAATAGAGATCGATTTTGTCGCAGACATCATTAAGATTCTTACACATCATATAAATAGGGGATTTTGCTAGGATATTTGTTCTTGGCGTTGTTAGACAAAAACATAATTCGTTTCTGTTGTTCATACGAGGTACAAGAAAATTGAGCTGAGACAAAAGATCTGGACAATCAACAAAATAATGAGTGAGCTTATAAATAAATAGTCACGAGTAATAATTTCTTCGGTCTTCCAACGAGATAAGTGAAAATCGGTTCAGTATAACACCCTGTTCTGGATATAACCCATCGATTTTGTATATCATATATTTCATGAATAATCTTTGTACTGATTCAAGGCTTTGCTTGTAAGTTGAATAAATAGGGGACCAAATCAGTGAGCCATACTCTAAGCGAGATCGCACATAAGTGTTGAATAGATTTATAAAAGTGTCTTGACTCTCAAAATCTTTACAATTTCTGAATATCATACCTAGTATTCTTTTTGCTGATGATATGGCTTTGGTGATATGTGACAGGAACTGCAGTTTAGAATCAAAATAAATACCGAGATCTTTAGTTAGATCATGTTTTTCAAGGTTTTTACCGTCGATGTTGTACACAAATTCTATCAGGTTTACTTTAGATGTGTAGGTCGCTGAGTGACATTTTTTGATGTTGAGTACGTGGTAAGTTATTCGCAGTGCACCAAGTGGCTACCTTGTCAATGTCATTTTGAAGTGTTTGACAGTCATTTATCGAATTAATGGGACGAAATAACTTCAGATCATCAGCAAAGAGAAGAATCCTACTTGAAATATTTTGCGTAATATCGTTTATATACAGAGAAAACAGCAATGGAGCTAAATTACTCCCCTGTGGTGCTCCACTACTAGCTATAAATGATTGCGACTTGTGACCTCTGTATTCAACATATAGTGAGCGACCTGTGAGATACGAGCTGAAAAAGTTCAACAAATCCTCATCAAATCCCAAGTTTCTCAGCTTTAAAATTAGTATTGTGTGATCCACTGGACTTGAAGAAAAGAACCACAAAAAATCCGCTATTGCTTCATAATCCAAAGATCAGAAGAATCTTCATCAACGTAGACAATCTACGGTGATTTCATGTACGAGTATCCCAGAGCACCATTCGAAACTGCAAAATTCCTGCTAGGCTCGCAGTATTGGAGGTCATCAGAAGCCATCAGGTATTCAGGGGATTCTGGGCCACACTGACTTTGAATTCGATACAATACACAAATCCTGAGATATCTTGAGAGATTCTATTGCACCCGTTACGCTTCAAGATTTCAACTTTGGAATATGATAATTGCAAAAAAATGTGTCCCCCGCCAAATTGAAATCGACCTGTCAGAGCGATTTTAAAAAAGGGGGGAGACAAGTTTTAGCTGGGACATACTGTATGTCCCAAGACAGGATATTCCTGGATAGTTTAGGAACTTGCAGATAGATGGACTCCAGCAGATTCCGAGAGTACAGGCTGTCCCATTCTCTCTCTCATTCTCCTTACGGGATATCTCACTTATTTTCAGAGATAGATACACTCAGTTAGAAGACGCCCTTGATATTTGACCTATCTTTAAAAAAAATATATTAGGTCGATTTTTTTTTATTTGCTGGTAGGTAATGCATTTGTCTTGAAAAAAAAATAAAGTGGTGAACATTTTTTCAAAGCCTTGATGGTGGTGGAATAACTCGAACCATGATTTATTCTTAATTTTTGACTCACCCTGTGTGTTAATTGAGTAATGGTATACAAAGTGCTTGCACCCTATACGAAAGAGGCTTCTTTTGCGACCATTTTATTTTTTTATTCATTGATTTATCTCTAAAATTTTCCGAATTACAGCTTTTTTGCTGATACCTCACGCTTATCCCACAAATTAAATTTATTGAAGGATCAGAGTACTCAAAATTGATTGGGTTGTACTCTGGCAGGATCACATTGTCTTTATAAAAACAAATGCCGTTGCCATAGCAACTAATTTGTTGTATGCCTCCATATTTGACCATTTATCGTTGTGTCATTAATTGAGTGTCTTGTTATATTGACTAAAATTACATAAAATGCCTCAAATAAATCCTGAACAGCGTTAGTAAACGATGGGCGTAGTGAACGTTACGCCGCTCGTGCAGTGGGAGTTCATGAAGCAACTGCTCGTAGAGCAATCCGCAAGTACGAACAAACAGGAAGCACCGCTCGGAGGGTCGGTTCTGGTCGCCCCCGAAAAACTTCTCCAAGAGATGATCGCTTCTTGAGATTTCGGATTTTACGGAATCCATCAAATACTGCGGTAAATGTTCAGCAAGATCTTCACCTAATTCGAGATGTTGCAGTAAGTAAGCAGACGGTATGTAGACGTCTAAAAGAAGTTAATTTAAAAGCTAAGAGACCTGCAAAAGGTTCCAAATTATTGCCCGAACATCGTGCTGCTATAAGAAATTTTGTTGAAAATTATGGACAGTGGAATATTCCTGAATGGTCGAATGTCTTGTTTACGGATGAGTCAAGGTTTTGCTAACATGGTGGATGGAAGAAAAAGAGTGTGGAGAAGAACTGGTGAACGGTTTAATCAAAATTTAATAACAGAATGCGAAAGTTTTAATGGTGGGTCCGTCATGGTGTGGGGAGGGATTTCAATGAATGGAAAGACCCCCCTTCATGTTTTTCCGGTGAGGCAGTCGATGAATGCCCAAATTTACATTGACATTTTAGAGCAGTATGTCTTACCTTATGCAGAGTTAGTGGGCAATAATTTTATATTGATGCAGGATAATGCCCGACCACGCAATAGTGCGAAACTTCTTAGAAGCCACTGGTATTACCACATTACAATGGCCTGCGAGAAGCCCCGATATGAATCCTATAGAACATTTGTGGGATGAATTAGGGAGAAGGGTACGTTCTCGCGAGAGGTCTCCGGAAAGTCTCGCAGAAATGGCAGATGCATTAGATCGTACACCAATGGAAACGATAATCAACTTAATTTCCAGTATGCCTCGTAGATTAGAAGTTCTTAGAGTTGCTAGAGGAGGCAATACACGGTATTAAGCAGTCATCCCAATTTATAATTTTGTGTTTAATAAAAATGTTTTTTTAAAATTATTGGTATTAGTTTATTTCATTAGAAAATTGTTTCTCGATAAATTCAGAAAGTTGGTAATCTACAAGGATTCAGCAAAAAAAGCTGTAATTCGGAAAATTTTAGAGATAAATCAATGAATAAAAAAACAAAATGCTCGTAAAAGAAGCCTCTTTCGTATAGGGTGTAAGCACTTTGTATACCATTACTCAATTAACACACAGGGTGAGTCAAAAATTAAAAATAAATCATGGTTCGAGTTATTCCACCACCATCAAGGAGTCTTTGAAAAAATGTTCACCTCTTAATTTTTTTTCAAAGACAAATGCATTACCTACCAACAAATAAGAACAAAAAAAAATCGGCCTACTATTTTTTTTTTTTCAAGAAGATAGGTCAAATATCAAGTGCATCACTTTTTTTGGAACTGAGTGTATAGAGAGCATAAGAGGGATTTCTTTTCTGGATTGGTAGGTATTTTACTTGAAATAAAATATCTGCAGACTCAGGCAGAAGATACAAGCGTCATGATATTTTGCAAAACATGTAGGAATTTTGTGTTTTTTTTATAATTATATGAATGGCGAACAGTCTATTATGTTTGAATTTTTAGGTGGTGGGGTACTTGCTCATACAATTTTGGGTGTGGATTACAACCAACAGACCGGTAACATGAGATTCCTCATTTTGGATCCACATTATACAGGAGGCGAAGACCTTCACGTAATTCAAAGCAAAGGTTGGTGTGGTTGGAAGACAGTCGATTTTTGGAGCAAAACGTCTTATTATAATATGTGCTTGCCACAAGTGCCTAGGGAAGTTTAGCAATATTTAAAACATTCTTTATTATTACTGATAATGGGGGAAACCACTGATTTTTCGAAACGACATCATCTTGATCCCTATACAAAAAAAACTACCAGTAAACATAATTTTAAATGTTTTCATTCATACTGGGAGGATAAAAGAATAAATAGGTTCTTTCGTCTGCTTTTCAGTGTCGTGTAAAATGTACCTACTACACTATTAATCAGCTGATATTTCGTGCAGCTACACCGACGAATTTCAAACGAATGAAGAAAATTTGATTAAAGAGGAAAAGTGCGAAAGTGAACAGAGTTAATTTTGAAATGTGGTATTTGATTCAACTGATTTCCCAGTACAGGTGTAATATCTGATAAAAATATAATCACATATGTATTTCGAGTCATTTATCGCGATTTTATTGATTACATAATTCGAGTGTAATTCACACCTGCACAAGACCAGGTGGAGATAAACTACACTGGTGTGAAATGCACTTTTCAAAAGAATGCTCAAATAAGGTGTAAACCACACGAAGTGTACGAATGTGCTGCACTTTTCGTACAAAAGAAAGGGCCTATTTACAATTCTTTTCGAAACACACACTTTCTGTGCCATTTGAAATGGTGTCAATTTATTGGTAAGACAGGTGTGACGTATTACAACACGCATATTTTCCGTGATCACACTGCATCACTGCAGTTTTTTCTAATCACTTGGCAAGGTATTAGAGAGAGATAGCTACAATTAAGGCTCCACCTTCATATATGGCATTTTGAAACATTGAATGAAATATGCCTTCAACTTTAACTTATAATATTGATTGTACAGGGTGTGGCAAATTGGACAATTTTAAAGAGAAAGTCCTATTCTCGAATCAGATGAGAGAAAACTGATGTCGCTGAGGGTCGATTCTCACGAAAAACTCAATGGTGAAATCCACATATCGATATCTGTCCTCGTTTCGGACTTACAAGGTGTTTTTCGAAAATGGGCATATTTGAATTGAAGTGGTCACAGATATTTTTTTTGCAAAAATTGTCTGTTCCAATGAGAATAACTGCGAAGCTTTCCTATATCTAGTTCAGGAATATAACTTGTTCTTCTTGGAAGAAAAGTTCTATTTTGCAACTAGGTATACGGTGACTGATTTCAGTGCCTGAGGATCCATTTTCATGACAAACACAATGCTTTAGAAATGTTTCCATGAAAACGAGGAATATTTGCCAAAAAAAATAATTTTTCTTAAATTCACATTTTCAAAAAACTCTGAAATAAAGATAGATATCGATATGCGGTTTTTACCTTCCGAGTTTGTCATGTGAATTGACCAACAGGCACTAATACATACGTAGTTATATTGAGTTCAAATAATTGTAAATTATTCTTTTATGACAATCTAATCAATTCGTCACATGACATTTCATAACATGCATAATATACTCAGTGTATTTCAACCTGAAACCTAACATTTCCCCCCTAAAAAAAATAAAATAACAAATTCAAGCATTTCGGAACGGTTCGTATTCTAGTTGATCTTCTAACAGGTGACTTCCGAGCCATAGCAGAACTGGATTCAGAAGTAGGTACTTCCTTCTAGGTCTGTCTGCTTATCTTCACCGGGAGAACAATTTGGTGACATCGACCATCCTCGTCGCCACCAATACATACGTAGTTATATTGAATTCAAATAATTGTAAATTATTCTTTTATGACAATCTAATCAATTGGTAACATGACATTTCATGACATGCATATACTCAGTGTATTTCAACCTGGAACCTAACAGGCACCGACATCAGTTTTTTTCTTTCTTGTAAGGGAACAGGACTTTCCCTTGAAAAGTGCCCAATTTAGTCCACACTATACATTAGTACATTGAATAATGTAAATCATGATTCATCGATTGAAAGAGTTTTGGACGTATTTCATTCCTCAGTGGTCTTCCCCATTCTTGCGAGATATCGGGAAACCTTGAATTATGAATTATGCGATATTTTTTATATTACAGCTGTTCTCTTTTTATCCTTATGATTCATTTAAGGCGAATCAAAAAATATATATATATACTAGTTTCCATCTGGCTATTATTTTCGTCTTTGTGTGTAATACCCATGGACATGCGCTTATTGCGTAATAATTTTGTGCATATAGAGGTTCTGATACAAAAAATATCTCCAATCATTGGAGCTTTGCGAAGATGTCCTAAACTTGACAAAAAAGGCATAAACATAGTACATATTTATTCTCATATACTCAGACGTATTACCTATATGATAAACGTTCGGGGATCTTATTCAAAAAATTATTTCAGTAAAATATCTGCACTTTATAAGAAATCACTGAAAGTATTTATCGCCTCTCATTTGATATCCCAACAAATGATCTATATGCGATAACAGAAAAATTTTCATTGGATGAATTATATAAAATAGATTCTCTTAAAGTTTCATATACCTAATATCATAGACAATAATCTGAAATCCAATTTTGTTTTGATAAGAAACTCAGAAACGTATGGCCATCATACGAGACAATTAAACTTATTTCATCTTGATTCTGCTACTTCTAGAATTGGCCAAAAAAAAATTACACACGCTGCTCTAGCTGAATTCAATAAATTACCACATAATATAAGAAATTGCTGAAATGATTTTATTACGAAATGGATAAAATTGATACTTTGCCATCTACTGATTAGTCCATGTGGCTATTTTTATGACTTGATCGATTTAGCATGTTTACATTTTTAAGAGTTTTTAGATTTTTTTGTTGTTGTCACCTTAGATTTTTTTGTTGTTGTCACCTTATATTATTTTATTATTGTTGTTTGTAATCAACTTCCTCATACCAAAATTTTATTTGTGACTGGAAGCTAGTTTCTCAATAAACAATAAACAAGATGAAACATGGATTTGACAATGTTCTCCATTGTTCAGTAACTCTCGATCCATTTTGGGACTTGTCGTTGCCGATACCACAGGAATCTGGCCATCTCAGCGTGAATGTCTTGGATGGCAAAGAGAAACCTAACTGCTCGAATGGTAAGAAGAATCGGAAATGTTTGAAGTCATTGTCAAATCAGAAATTTCTAAAAGTGTCAAATGGAAAATAAACGGATTAGATATCTGATATGATGTGCCATGTCGACACGATCTATATGTCATTACTAATAATATCGGTACCAGCAACATCGAAAACTACGGCCTATTGAAGATATCCATCTTTTAATAATTGGCAGGATTTCAACGACTCTCATGTGTCTTCGATAAAACATGATTTATTAGAAGTTTTATTTTATCAGAGATGGGTCTCCTTGATATACTTCTATTTTATTCATTGTAATTATTTTGACTATTACATAGGGAATACGTTGAAAAAAAAACATTATTTGTTCAATAACTATTTTATCCATTCCTGTGGAAAATGTGATGCCTGATAAATCAAAACTGTTCCCACTATAACCGACCACGTTCTGATAACGCTAAAAAGGAGAGCCATGCCGCCATATTCCAGCCAAAACATGTAGGAAAATATAAGTTGAATCAGTAACAAGACGGTGAAAACCAGATGCAGACATAATTTGCTCAGGAAAGATGGCGTTTTACCAAGAGTGGGTTTCAAATCATAAAATCTGGAAAAATAATTGATCATTACACAAACACAAAGTATTTTATATAAACGATTATACAAACCTTTGATATACTGCATTTGCAAGGATGATAGTTAGTGGTAGTTGGAATGTAACCAGCTATAAAAATAATAAAATTATATTTTCTAGAGTATTTCCAGTTCTACCATGGAAATCTCAGTTATTGTAAGAGATACGAGGTCGGTTGAATTCGAGGTTGAAAAAGTCGCGCTAACCAATTATCTGAAAGAAATTTGGATGGTTCTTATTTTTAAACTTTTTGACAAATAACAGAAACTTTCAATTTTCATTGTTTCTTATGCAAAAACTAAAAGACCCAGACGTCTTTAACTAATTATAACGTTTTTGCGTCATTTGAACTGAAAATGACACATCAAATTTCTTATCAGATAATTATCCAACATAAAAATGCGCAACTTTAACCTTATATCTCTTTTAATGACTCGAGTTCCCGTTGTGGGGCTCGAAAAATGTCCACTACAGTAAGATTTGAATAGGTTACCTTTACCTAAACTACAAGAGGCATTCAAAGAAATAAGACTCCATATATTGTCAAGAAGTACAAATGTCTATGAAATAACTTTCGTTCATTTCTAGATCTTTACTCATAAATTAACTTTTCCAAATTAAAACATCTTGTACAGCGTTTCGATCAGGTCAAAGCGGAGTTCATAGACTCTAGTTCCGGTAAAATTTTCATGAAACCGCTTAGCTTGCGATGCGGGCTAAGCTATACGCCCGGTATCGAGCATTGCCATTGCGGAAAATTGCAATGTTAGCATCGATTCCAAATATAAATAGATTCCGAATCGATAAGCCATTCATTACTGAATTCATTACTGATTTTTGATTATTATTGATCACCCATTTCTGATTACTGATTATTCATTACTGATTACTGATTACTAATTCATTACTATTATAATGCATTTCGATAACACTTTACTTGATTCCGTAATTGAGTTACTTATTCACGAGTGTACCGTCCTCCCGACTTTGATCCTGCTGGTCAACCCCATGTTAGATGTCATAATGTAAGTACTGTTTTCCATGTTCTATCTGATTTGTTTTTTCTGTGTTGTGTTCCGTTTGGTAATTTACTATGGTTTGTCTCTGCTACTTTGCCATGTGGCAAGCATTTATTCACGACTTTCCCATTAAATCAATAAATGTTAATTGTATACGAAAACTATCTTGACTCTTCATTTGGGGATGAATATGGTTGGGTGGTGAAATGATCAAAATCCTCTCATCAAGCCAAGCGAGTATCCAAGTTGCGATCCATAGGAGGGCAACATCTGAGTTCCGACATGTGGTGGAACACGCCGTTTGCCAAATAATCTACCAAAACCATTTGAGTTGCGACAATATTTCTTAAAAGAACCCAAGTTATTATAAACCGAAAAATATTTCCAGCTGGATTTTTTTCAATATAACTCATTTAATTTCATTCCATAACTAATGGCCACCCTTTAGAATAGAAACCCTCTACATGTTGGAAAGTACCATACAGAAGTTCTTCTCCAAAAGGTGAAACAAACTTAATAAACATATATGTGATTCATTACCAAAAAGAAGCAAAATGGACCACGTCATTTAAGGCAATGGAAATACAATATGGCGTCCACATAAAATTTTAAAAATGGTTTGAAAATATCTACGAAAATATTTTGTGTTTCACCGTCATCTGAATGAACCTAATTTTCTGTCAACTATAATAAATTGCGACAGACATTAAATGAAGGATACCAAATTGATTTAGAAAATGCATTTTAATAGACCGTTGGCCCATGACTAAGTTGTCGATTATCTAGGAAGAAGGGTTATGAAGATTGGGTTGGAGCCTTGAAAAAAAAAGTGATTTGTTGGATACATCCTGGTCGCCTCTCCCAAATCATTCAACTTTTTGTTGAAATCAATATTGAGACTATTATTAAAGAAATTCGGGAGCTTCGTAGATAATCTCATACATATAAGTCAATGACTTCAAGTGACCTTCGAATTCTGCTAAATTCGCCCACCCAAATTATATGCAAATGTTTCAACATTGACTGATGGATCAAAATGAGTTCAACCAAAGGGCATAACTTCGAAAATAATCCGAGATAAATATCGGTTGAAGGTAACTTCTGGTCCGTATTATCCAAATCGGCTAGCGCCCGGTCAATTTGGCGAGATGTGGCTATTCCAATACATTGTAGAGCCTCTTCTTCAATAAAATTTTTGACTTTGCTCTCAACAGGAAGTTGATTGATTAGAGATAATGATGACCAGGTACCTATCCAATAAATTTCTTGTTTCCTAATGATCCAACTCAATCTTCATGTCCTTTGCATGGCATATACCTTCGGCGCCAACGATCTATATCTCTGATGATATCACATAATCCAACACAAGATTTCCAGAAAACTTGAATAATCACTGGAATCTTAATAAAAAAATGGGGCAAGAGTCTGGTACACATAATTCCTTATAGTTTTCCGAAATATTATGCCTTAGGTTTGTCAACACCCCCCTTATTAACCTTCTCAAAGTTTATAACACCATTTTCGAAACACCCTATCTTAGTTTTACCTCGAAAGAGCCATAGATATAGGCCAGCCCGTCCGGTATGAATGTCCCGTTGACGAATATACCCCAAGCGAAGACTACCCCTATATGGTCTTCGACTAGATAGCCGATCGTCCAAGGCCCCACAATCAGGTAAATGGGGTAGAAAATCGTCGGCCAGAATATCCTATCGAGTCTCGATAATATCCAAATTTTCTCAAACAACGGTATGCTGCCGTATTTGCGAAGTATCCGTCGATGTTCACCTGTTGCTGATTGGATAAAAATCGCTATGAAAAGAATTGATAGTGATTCGAAGATTGTTATTTATTATACAAGGAAAAAAAGTAGTAGATTTTAGCTCCAGGTTTTGTTGACGCCCGACGCGTAGCGGAGGGAGACAAAAAACCGTGAGCTAAAATCTAATATTTTTCCCGTGTATAATACATTATTTTTTTCTGTGACAGAAGACAGGACGAATCAATATTGACAAGATATTACATTATTTTGAAATCTGAAAATTATCGACGTGAAATTTCAAGTTTTTAGCAGTAGGGACACCTGCGTTGTAGGCATCTTTATCATTCTTTTGAAGTAATCAAATATTTGATGTCACTTCTGTCAGTCTAATTCTGTGATTTGATTTAAAAAAAATTGCGAATTTAGTGGTTGTTTAGTAATATACGTAACCACGAAGTCGAATGGAAGATAAAAGGACTTGCAGTTCTTTCTCGGAGACAGTATTATTGACTCATTTCTCGGAGCTATAGCACAACAGAAGCCATCAACAGTGTATACAATATGTGATATATATCCAGGAAAAAAGAACTCACTTTTTTCCCACGGGAAAAACGTAATTTATGAAAAGTGACATTTTATAACCTGCCATAAGAGATGAAATGCCAAACTTTTTTCCCGTCACAGAAAAAACGAATATACATGGTGTTATGCCAGTATACTGGGTGGTATGTTCGTATGTAGCGGACGCGTTAGCCATCCAGGCGAGATCTGCAAGTTGAATAACTTCTGATGGACGCACTTATAGTCTAGTCTTGAATATACGAATGCTTTTATAGTTCGAATTAAATTTTTCACAAGGTGAAATTTGCAACTTTATAGTGAAATATCTCAATAAATAATGGTTTGTTCACATTTTCATTATCAAATTCGTGTTTTTCAGACAAAAATAAGTACCAAAAAAAATTCGAAAAAAAAACTATCGCATGATAAGTACAGTTTTACCAAATGAATATTGCAAATTAAATGGAGTTCACAAAGAAGGTATTTGAGATAAATGTATTGTAGTCGATATATCTACTCACATGTGTTTATAAAATAGTAAAAGAATAACTGATCTACCTAGTAGGAAAAATTTAACATCATGTGCTTTGTTCTTGAGTGAGGATTTCTTTTTTTTTAATTTCTACTTTTTACTTCTGAGAATAATATCAATCTCGGAGTTGAGAGAAATAATCTTTCAATTATACACTGATTGAAATTATCATTTTCTGTGAAATACAGTGAGACAACTTGCAGGAATAACATGTGAAACGGAGCAATAATGATGATACTCTACTGAAGAACTCAAAATCGAAAAATATCACAATGACCACTAAACTTTCGATAAAATGCATGGAACCTTGAATGTAATTAAACATTCAATGTACTTTCCATTAGTTACTTGAATATCCGCTAGAATACGATCGCTTATTTTGAATCGCCTATGATATTGACTTTTTTCCATTGGTCAAGACATATTATCGAAAATGCAAAAACTGACGCAACAAAATATTCAATTTGATGATTTTCCTACAAGTAACGAGATGAATACATATAGTATTTTTTATAAAATCTCAGTTATATGAGTACCTTGACTGTAGATTGAAAGTATGATGGTAATATATCGTTGAAAAAAAATTCATACCGAATCATAATTTCCAAAAAAAACTTTGAATTTGAAATAAATAAATTGGATGCACGTCCGGCCAAACCGGAAGTGTCATATTTGGTCTGATACTAGCGATACTATATACTCATGAAATCAAATCTATGTACCAAAATTGAAACATCCATACCAAATAGCAACAAAGATACAGGCGGGTGAGTCAATTGGTTCCGGGTCAGGTGATTTTTTTGCGTGAATCTAAGCCGAAAAGTTCATGTTCCGGATTTTCATTCAAATGCAATGTTTAAAGGATGCGTTTTTTTTGTTCAAGATTTCATCTGTTTTACAGTAGTTATAACATACCAGATGGTCAAAATTAGTGTTACACAATACATAAAAATGATTTTTTTAAAAAGATTAGGCACTCTTCATTATCAAATAACTGAAATCATGATTGAATTCTGCATTTTCCATATCTGACTAGGTTTTTGAGATATCAGCATTTTTACTGGAAAAAAATTCAAGATGGAGAACACTTTGTCACCTGGTGAAACTCTTTGCAATGTTGTAAATTCGGCGAATGGAAACAATAAATGTTCACTAACCTTTCACTGAACCAAAAGCGTATCTGGTGACTAGAAGTGGAAGGACTAATATTGCTATCAACAGGTAAAATAGCAAACTGAACTGAAACATAATTCAAGTGTTGCTAAACTAAATACACTCACCGGCAAAAAAAAACGGCCACCAAATAATTTAGCCAAATTGTTTGCTCTGTAACTTTTTCAATTCTGGTCCGATTTTGGAACCAAATCGTAGATTCATGTTTCCAAATCTTAGCCCAAATATTAGTTCCTAAGAAAATCTGATGACTCGATCATTATACAGGGAAAAACGAAATTTAGTTTTTCACCCTCAACTTCTTAACGCCCTGTGGGAAAGGTGAGTGGTTTAACTTAGCTTCATTATGTTTTAGATTGAAGAGTGATCTCTTCTCTACATTATGGTTTTTTATTCACGTCGATAACCATTTTTTAATGGAAGATACAAGTGTTTCAAGAGAGTATGGATTCTTAAAATTTTTATTCACAATAATTCACAACCATTCTCCAACATTTTGCTTCATCATGTTTTGAATTGAAGTGTGATCCTCTCTTGTTCCTTCTTCAATATCTCCTTTTTGAGAGAAGATACAAGTGTTTCAAGAAAGTATACATTTTTTAAATTTTCAATAACAATAATTCAGAACCTATCTACCTATCTTAGGGGTGACCTCTAGAGGCTCATTCGCCTTCGCCCAGCCTTGTCAGATACTCTTCAAGAACTACGATTCGCCCTTCAAGGAGGATTTTAGGCAATTCTTCAAGGCTACTTGAGTAATTTGATCAATTCGATGCCACTTTGGTTGAATGCTCTAATTCAATATCGAGGAGAGCATACTCCTTATTGACTACAGGTCTGCTTCTTGTTTGTTTTTTGTAATTGATTTTCCCGTAAGTGCCAAGAAAGTAAGGTAGAAATATGTGATAGTAATCCTTGAAGTTGTTAATCAATAAGTTCATCTAAGTTCTGATTATTGGTAAAAAAAGTTGAAAAACGCCATACTTCCTTAAAACACTCGTATCTTCTTTTAAAAATAAGATATTGACGTGAATCAAAAACTATTGTGTTAAGAAGGGATCACACTCAAATCCGAAGCATAATGAAGCCATGTTCAATCACGCAATTTTGCCACAGGGCGTTGAGAAGTATAGGGTGAAGGAGTAACTTCGGTTTTTCCCTGTATAATGATTAAGTCATCAGCTTTTCAGGAAAACTGATATTTAGGCTAACATTCCGGAACATGAATCTACAATTTGATCGAAATTTCACAAAAATCGAACAAGGATTAAAAAAGTTACAGGCTGAACAATTTGCGCAGATTTTTTGGTGGCCGGTTTATTTTGCCGGTGAGTGTATAATTGACATTGATAGAAGACAAGATACATTGGACAAGTGACACTCAATACTCACTAATATGTTGGCATGTACCATAAGGAACAAATTTGACCATAAACTGAATGGTACTCTGGTCCCATCTAGAGAAAATGTCTGACTTGAAAACTTTTCTCTTCCTTCAAAATCTCTTACGTGAATCTGAAAAAAAAAATCATTTTGCAAACCTATAACTTTTCCAAAATTGTCTCGTGAATCAATTTGTTGCAGGAAAATAAAGAATATGCTTAGGTGGTAACTGTTCTCAGTAATACCTCAATTTTGTGGAGACCTGTGGCATAATCTAGGGGGTTCCAGGGTATGACAAAAAGAGGACCTTCAACTTGTCTCCCAGTCATCCATTCACCTTTATTGATATTCACTTCAACAATGTCAATTTTTGCAATAGAAAAAGCGAGGATTCTAAAAAAATTACAGCAAGGGTTTCACATAATTAGCATGCAATAGGAAAGTATCCTTCTGATTAGCTTATAAGCTTCCTGTTTTTGTAATTTACAATGCCCAAAAATGATTTTTGATACACCCATTGAGATGATTTAGGTCAAATCACATTAGATTAATCAGTCAAAAATTCGAAAAATTATTTTTGATATGCTTCTGATCTGAGTATGATTGAATCAGCATCAGAGTAAACCAGAACAAAGAATGGGGGAGACCACTGATTTTTTAAATCGACATTATCGTGACCTCTATATTGAAAAACTACCAGTGAATTAATTTTGAATTTTGTCATGCATGCTAAGACGATGAAAAAAATAAATTAGAATATGTCCATTTCAGAACACCCAATTCCTGCGCCATTCAAAATTTTGTCAATTCATTGGTGTGGCTGGTGCGACGTCTTAGTCCCAACACGCCTATTGTCCTTGAACTGGCCAATCACACTGCAACACTGCAGAATGACGAGGTATCAGAGAGAGATAGCTACAGTTCGGGACTAATACGTCACAGCTCCACCATCATATTTGGCTTCTTGAAATATCGAAAGAGATATGCTGATTTCAAAACGATATAGATTCGATTCCCTTCAACTTCAACTCATAATATTGATTGTACATCAAACGTAAATCATGATTCGTCGATTGAAAGATTTGCACGGATTTCTTACCTCAGTGGTCTTCCCCATTACATAAAATCGATTGTCATTAAACAAATAATTGTTTTTTTCACCATGTTTAATATGTTCTATACTATGCATTATTCTCAATGTTATTATATGTTGTATATTCAATTTAATTTCAGAACCGATCATTTTTTTACCCAAATAAACAAGGATACCTTCTCCATAGAAAAATTTCACAATTTTCATTTTCTGTTAGAAAAATGCGAAAATAATTGCTAACAAATAAATGAGGTCTAAGAGAACAGTAAGCCAACTACAATTGATACACTCCAGAATGAAAATTCATAATATCCTTCACATTTTTTAATTCGGCTCAAGAAGTGAGATAAAGATACAAAATCTCATTATTTTATCACAATCAGTTTCTGAATTTGAACATATTCATGAATTTTTAGTTGTGCCAAGGTATTGCATGCAGTTTTATAGGACACCTGTATAGGACATTTTGTATTTGACAACTTTTGAACTTTTATGTAAAATATAATTTTTTCACCTAATATGTGTCGAATTCCTTAGGACTTCCAAATTTTCTTTTGATGGATTGTGAAAGAGAGCACTTTTTGGCATAGTGATGAGTACAATTGGCCAATCTCCATGATGGATATCAGTAAATGATAAAATTCCATGATCTATAGCCATCAAACGATACCTGAGAAATAATAAAAATACTATTTTTCTTCCATTGAATGTTGTACTAGGTGACCCAAATCCTATGTACCGTTTAGACTCAAGGTGGGTGGAATGGAATAGCAACACAAAAAACTAGGAGCTGGTCCAATTTTTTTTTAGCCGACTAACAAAGAAAGCCTTTGGCACTGTCAAATCTTGACCAAAAATGCATGATTTCCATGAAATAGTCATTATGCTGGATTATAATTCAGAAGTTTGACATTTCTAATGAAAGTATAAAAATAATGAGGAATATGCAATAGGGCAATGTCTGCTGACGTGCTGACGTCACAACATGGCGCACTTGTCGTTTTCATCAGCTGATCGGGGGACAAAGCTGTGTGTGAATTTTTATTTTATTATTTCTGACCCATTGGTGATTTTGTTGAACTTGTGGATATTATACAAGAAGAATGTGAACATTTTCTTCCAAAATGAGTATCTATTGAGGTATATTACGAGGTATATTAGGTATATTAGAGCGGAACTCAAGTAAATCCAGTAATTTTAAATTGACAAATAAAACAATTTGAACTCTTCTTTGGACTCATTCACTTCTCTCACAGGATTCATGATGAATGAATTAAAAAACAAATAAAGTTATTTATGTAGCCTTATGGAAAATGTGTATGCTTGTCCCCCCATCAGGTGTTCAATGGCCGACAATTTTACGTCATATGACGTCACTGACAATGCTCTATTAAGGGAGCTATACATAGAATCTGGTTTTCTGGTTATAACTGAATACCTATTTTGCTTACTTACTCTCTTTTATCTTTCCAGTCGACAAGTTCCAGTTCTAGAAATCCTTCTTTCTGAAGGGTGTACATTCTATCAACAAGCCCCCCTAAAGTATGGTAGTGTCCACAAACGTAGGCTAAGCCTCTATTGTGTTTTCCAATAATTTCTCTTATATTTTTCCAACCTTTACTAACAATAGATGCTGTTGGAAAGTGTCCGTAAAAAATTGTATTTTTAGATGTGCTGTTTTCAGTTCGTTGGATGAATGAGGATATTTTGATGATTTCTTGTTCATCAACTATGCCAATAAAGTTGAAGGGGTGTCGAGGCCCTGAAAAATACTTATCCTTTTTAGGGTTGGAATGATTTAAATCACTCAATTCGAATTTATTGACTAGAGATTTGAATCTTTTGACCCATATTAATGGATCAATCAATTCCCAGGAAACAACATATGTTTGTGACAAGGAACATATTAATTATATTATAATATTATATATTATAAAGCAGAAGGATTTTATTGTTTTTTTGTTTGTATGTAGGTATGTATTGAATAGGCTCCAAAACTACTGGATCGATTTGGCTGAAAATTGGTGGGGAGGAAGCTTAGAACCAGGAAAAGGTTATAGGATACTTTGTATCCCGGTACCATTAGGAAATTCAAGATGGCGGATCTGATATATCGGACGAGTATTGTAATTATGATCCGACTCTCCTCAAAATTGTTATTTGGGTGTTTTCGGGGTCGGAGATTATGATTCTTTTGTCAAAATTTGGAAAGGGTGGGATTTGGAAATTCAAGACGGTGGAACCCATATAATGAGTTGTAATTATAAACCGATTCTATTTGTAAGTGGGCGTTATCGGGATCATCAATGGGCTTATATCACAAAAAAAAATATTTCATAATTCGATAGAACTCACCCAAACTAGCTCACCACCGCAAACCGTTTCTTGCTGTGAGCTCCCTACGTTTTATAAAAAATTATTGAAATCCCCGATTTCTCGAACCTCTGAAAACGAGGCGATGATGTGACGTCAAAACCCCAGTACTGAAACAAGACTATTCCAGATAGAGATGAATGATAAATGATATCTGACAGAGTGAATTAGCGCGAGATCACAGTAGAAAGAATTAATATAACAGTTGCCTCAGTCTCCGTCGGGCGTTTGGTATTTTTTTTAACTATGGCGAGATAAGGTTTCTACGTCATAAGAGGGTCCGTTTTCAGAAGGTACTATCATTTATGCTCAAAAATAAAATATTCCCAGTTAATTTTTTGATCGAATTATGTCGTCAATCATTATTTATGTATAAAAGGATCATTATAAACATGGTTTGAGTTAAAAGTTCTACTGAGGTGTACACGCCCATTCGACGAGTTTTTGTAATGTTCTGATTCTATTCAAAATTTTCATCTGGGGTTTTAGGAGTCGGATATTATGATTCTTTCCTCAAAATTGGGGAATTCAAGTGAACTAAAAAGAAGTTGAAATAAATGGTAGTTTGAAAAACTGAAGAAACACGCTTTTAAAGATAGGGAAACTAAATAGAAGTAGAAAATAAAATGATAATAGTGTCTTGATGGATATTGAACTGAAAAAATATATTATAGAAATAATGTATATAGGAAAACAACGTTTGCGGGGTCTGCTAGTAAATATATAAAAATACTATATGACATTACTGTTAAACAAGTGATTTACACATGACATACAATAGTTCAGTTTTCAGGAAATTTCATAAGAGATTAGTTTTTTCCAAATATTTTTCATACATGTTTCACTACTCTATTGTGCAATACATTATTTATTTAATAGAAAATCATAAGAAATCCAAGGGGGTGCCCTCTGTTTATTTTCACATAGGTAATATTTCTCTCAATATTTGGAAGAAACCTTAGAATAATAGGTAAATAGAACAATAGAAAATATCAAACATATTATTTCCATCTATGATTAATCTTTTTCATCTTTTGGATTGCCAAAAAGGGAGGATCACTTTCAGGGAGTTGCATCTGCATCTACACACTATACTATCAACTAATATAAAATATCAATTATAGGTAACTATACATGTATGTTTTGTCAATTAACAAATAAATTTGGACAGCAACCTAGAACTTTCAAGTTTTCATTGGAATAGTAACCTAATCAGCACCTTGCTGCCTGTACCTGAATTTTCATTGGTTCCCTACTTGACAGGATGAAAATAAGAATTTGAAAATGAAGCCTTGAATTAATTGTTGCAAATAAAATATTTCTTACCAGTATTCAAGGAAGCATCAATGGCAATGAAAGTGTACAAGTTGTTTTCTTTTCTCACTTGATACATATAAGATCTGGAATGATTATATCCTTGTACAGAGTAGTTAGTAAATAAATTTTGTGGTGAATCCAAACCAGCCACATCAAATGTGTCTAAAAAATAGTCAAAATCAGAAGAAAACATTAATTACTCCACATAAATAAATTTGAAATTTTTAGTGAGAGAGATAGAGCTCCAATCAGTTATCATTGATAAAAATATATTCTGAAGAAAGCAGTCCAAAATTGATTTCCTACTATTGAAGGCCCTATTTTGAAGGTGTTTGTCTTACTCTATATTAAATTCACAATAGATAACTATGATTTTAAGTGAAAATATCATTTGTTCATCCTGCAAAAAATAAAGACCAAGTTTTGGTGTGTGCAAAACAGAAAACAATGATTGTCCAAGCATTGAAAATTAATACCATGTTTTGGTGTGTGAAAAACAGTACTTATATAGGTATTAATGGTCAATGTGACAAAAGTCCATACTGTTATAGTATAGTATTTATATAATTTTTGATTTTATAAAAATATTCACTGGAATATTAATTACTGGTTATTAGTGAAAGGGTATACTAAATTACTACAGGCTACAGTACTCATTGTACATATATATCATTGAAACTCATGCAACTGATTCATTGATTTTTCAGAATTGTGATTTCAATATCTACCATGGTTTCCTCTTATATCAAGCCATATTGTCTTGTCTTCCACTTTTGTTTTATCCAGTATAGATTTATAGATTTGCCATTCCTCTTTGTACTGCTTTGTACCAATTCCATCAACATCTTTTGCATCTGTGAGATCTCCAGTTGCCAGAACAACACTTGGTTTTATTGCATCTATGGTATCATGGCAAAACTCATTGAATTCAGTTATTCTTGAGGCATCATTGAATATGCTCAAATGTAAATCAGATATCTAAAATGATCATTTATTATCCCTACATTAATATTCAACTCTTATTGATGAAAATTGTTTTTGAGAAAATTTTTAAATACATTTATCATGTGTTAGGTACTACTGATAGAAACTAGGAAATGTCTTACATGAAAACAGATTGATGAATCATTGACTTTCAGCAAAGATTATATGACATCCACAAAAAAGTAATATCAATGAATATGATTCATTATGAGTACATGATATTGATAGTATCTACCTGTAAAAACCATATTAAATTGTTGGTAGTGTCTGTTACTTTTATGTGATCATCACTATCACTAGCTGAATCTGCTGACAATTTTATGTCTGTGCTCAAAAAATTCAGAACATTTGCCAGAAAAATGGATAATGATATTAATAACAGAAAGATAGCATAGAAGATTAATTTTGAGTACTTCATGTTTCCAGCAAAACAATTACTTCTATTCTGCAAACTATTTTACAGAGAGAAACATTCCAATGTTTTTATCTTCAGAATATGGTCAATATATAACAGGCTCGATAACAGGTCATCAGGTTATTTTAATCTAATATCTACATATGCTTATTTCCAATCATGTTTTGAAGAAAAAAATAATTGATAAAGAGCAGATATACATGCACTGTGTCCAAGATAAGGATGTCTATCATGGGGATAGTTTTTATTTTTCTTCTGATGTTATTTGAAGAGTTAATAGGAAAATCAAAGACACTGTCTCACTTCTCAAGTTATATACATAACAGCATTGAGAGATTTTCCCTATGAAGTTTCCTTTCAGAGAAACCATCATCAACTTTACCCCATGATAGATATCCTTTATCTTGAATAATTGGATCTTGGAGAGTGGCTGTCAAAACAAGATAAACGTTTTACTTACACCTAGTGGAATATTTCTGAAAAAACGCAAATATAGTAGATTTGATAAATTAACATGTATCACAAAAATGCCTATAGTGAATGAATATACAAATAGTTTTATCGTGGTTTTGAGCAAAGACAAAAGGTAGAACTCCACAGATGATATCAAATGAATCCAAAGCAGTAAACTGGGATTCGGGTTGCACCTTAACCCAACGATATTTTAGGGTGCAATGTGTGAGCTTTCGACCTTCCGGGTCTCATCAGTTAGGCGAAGAAGCCTAAGAGCTAATTTTATTATTAAATATACAAATATTAACGATTATTCAAGATGTACATTCAAGTTTGATGTTTGAAAATTTATGAAAAATTCATAACTTAATAACCAATAACCATGAAAAGTAATCTTCTTATTTTATAATTGGCCGTTTCTAATCTTTGTCTTTGACTTTCATAACAACTGTGCACTGTGCTATCCAGGCCCAGTACTCTAGTGGAGTTGGAGTGTATGTTTCTGTTTTTATCATGTCAGTTCTTTGAACCGGTGTGAACTGGCAGACCAGGCCAGCGGCCAATATTTCCGAAGTTACCCGAAGGACCAGTGGCGCACCAGATATTCTTTTCAGGGTGTGAACTTGGCAGACCATTGGCAGCTGAATGGAGGGTGGTGCATCGAAAAAAAAATACTCAGCAGGCAGATATAGTGATTATTCCTGGTAGCATCTGGTAGGTATCATTCTTTGGATGAAAATAAAGCGTTTCTATCATGTTTGATCGCGGCAGTCCTGTGCTGAGCCTCAGAAATAAATTTTGTAGTTGAGCGTGCTGCATCGAAAAAAAATACTCAGCAGGCAGAGGTAAGTATATATAGTGATCATTCCTGGTAGAAATCATAGAAATCATATTCTTTAGAAGGAATTGATGCGTTTCCATCATGTTTGATAGCAGCAGCAGTCCTACGGCCAATGAGCCCTCTAAGAATATATATATTATTTTTCCTAATTAATAATGCGTTGTGTTACACCATCACATACTTTTGTCAAGGAGAAAATATTGATTAAATACTTGTATATTTGCTAGGTGTTCATATATTATATTTGTTTATTCGCAATATTTTCGAGATCAGCCACTGTTCATTCGAGATCTTTAAAAATTCAGCTGCCAATGGTCTGCCAAGTTCACACCCTGAAAAAAAATATCTGGTGCGCCACTGGTCCTTCGGAAATTTTGGCCGCTGGCCTGGTCTGCCAGGTTCACACCGGTGCTCTTTGACTGCTCGTCCCTCGTCAGCTGATCTCCAATTTTTCAACTTCAAAGCATTATTTCTATTTGTGAAAGGATATTCAGATTGTTTTTTGTTTTTGTGTATGAAAGTGAATAGGTCGCGTGCAAGAACTGTCAGATGACCGACCCTGGAGGCAAAACATATTTGTTTACAAGTGATCGAAATAGTTTTCCACAATTATTTTGGCATATGAATCGTATTTTCCCGCTATTCATCAATGCCATCACATTGTGCTGTTGTTAAATGCACAAAAACTGCAGCGGAAGATGAAGAAATCCGGATAGTACATTATGATTCAAAAGTAAGTACCTACTATTATAGTCACTCACATAGTTTTCATTTTTGAAATTTGGTTATTTCTCTGATTTCTCATCGGAATTCCTTCTGCAATAGGATCAGCTAATAGAAATATACCTGAAATTTCTAGAATAATGCAAGAAGATTGGATTCATGCAATCAATCGGTAGGACTGGTCTGACATGCTGACGATCGTGTGTGTTGTAGACATTTTCAATCTATTAGCAGCATCAGCTTGTATTGCAGAAGTGGCAGAAGGCAGAAGGAATTTTAATAAGGAATGACAACATTTCATAATGCTAACTATGTGAGATTACTATTTACCTGAAAAATCATATTCCCTAGTCTCTTGCTGCATTTTTTGTGCATTGTACAACAGCACAATGCGAAGGCATGCTTGAATTAATGAATAACGCAAGAAACACGATTCGTATGCCAAAATATTGTGAAAAACTATTTCAACCTTTTGATTCCTCTGTAACCAAATAAAAAAGTGAGGTTGTGTTTCAATAATTCACAGAAGAGTGAGGTTGTGTTCCAATATTTCACAGAAGAATGAGGTTGTGTTTCAATATTTTGCCTCCAGGGTCGGTCTTCGTGCACGCGACCTATTGTTCGATGACGTCTTTGCCACCAAGACTGATGATTTTTTACAATTTCTACTTTGACAAATTGTAATTTCTAGTTGAATTAATTCTATACCAAACCAACAAACCCTTGGCAAACCATGTCACCTATGTGAAAATTCACTTGAATTCTCATTTGAACTCAAGATCAGTGATAAATTCCATTACAAGAAATCTACAAAGTATTAAAATGATGCTTAGTGTTACAGAGAATCTGCAGTCTGTTTCTGAATCATGAGAGTCACCAAATTCACAGTGGGAATTTTAGTATCAATGATACTATTATCCATATTTTTTGCAAATCTTCTAAATTTGTTGAGCACCCAAGCTCTGACCACAGATGAATTCACCAAAGATAATTTCATCAATGTAACTGATACTTCAGAGAATCTGATGTGGTTTCTTCAGGTGAGTCCCCTAAATTAGAGTCCAATATTCTTAAATCACTGAGATTCATCTACTGAAATTATGTTGTACTGTTACTTTCAGATATCTGACATTCATATAAGTATATTCAGGGATCCTTTGAGAATAACAGAATTCAAAGAGTTTTGTCAATACACTATAAGTACAATAAAACCTATGGTTGTTTTGGCTTCTGGAGATCTCACTGATGCCAAAACCAAAGATGCCATTGGATCAAAGCAATATGAAGATGAATGGAGATATTATAGGGATATTTTGAAGGAGACCCATGTGAAAGAAAAGACTTTGTGGCTAGATATCAGAGGAAACCATGGTTATTTCAAATAATCACTTGCATCAACATTATTCCTTGTATTTGGTTTTCCAGATAATTTCAATGTTGCTGACTTATCTTCAAAGCAAAATTATTTCACAAACTATTCTGTACAAGGAAGGGCTCATCCCAGGTCATACATGTATCAAATGAGGAAGAGGAACACTTTGTACACATTTATTGGGATTGATGCTTGTCTAGAACCTGGTAAGAACCTGCTTTGATCAATTAATTAATGAATAGGCTGTGTCAAAAGTGATATAGGCAAAAACATTTCCTACATCTGTGAAGAGCACCCCTCAAGCTCAATTTCCTTTCCAGTGTGCTTTTATTTCAAGGGTTAGATATTTTGCATTGTTGTTGTTTTTGTTGTTCTTTATTACCCCAAGAAACATATTTGTTTATAATAGGGATACATAAACATATGATATATATGTATATATATAAAAACAATAAAAAAAACTAATTAACAATTTATGTCAATATAACATGATAATTGAAATAAAATCATTCCAAGTATTCAAATGAGAATAAATTGCTGCCTTTATAGTGTCTTGAGTATATATTTTTTCATATTAACTTTGAATCTTGTTTCATCATCAATATGTTTCAAATCATAAGGTAATGAATTATATAAAATGATTCCCTTGTAGAAGATTGTTGGCCAATGATGAAGTTATAGCGGTTTGCTATTAATGAGTTCAACTGTCTCCTTTCATGAGTATGAATTGTATTTACTTCAGTAAAGTTCAAAGTAGGATATTTTTATTTTTTTCTCGCAAAATGGATGAAAGAACAAATTTTCATTTTATATAAAGATGATAAATTCAACAGATTTTTTGGTTTGTGAAGATTAATAGTTGGTTCCAGGTAATGTAAATTGTGAATGCACTCAATTGTTTTATTTTGTAATTTCAGTAACGGTTTCGGATGTGATATACTTGTGCTTCCCCAAATTGATATTAAATATTGTAATTTTGAGTAAATCAGACAGAAATATATATTCTTCAAATATCTAAGAGGAATGAAATTTCAAATTTTGTATAAAATGCCAGTAATTGGATTTAGCTTTTTGTGAGGTTGGCTATGAAGTTGTGTCAAATGTCAAATCTGAATGAACTCAGCATCACTCAAAATAATTGGCATGTGCACTATTTATAGTTTCTTGAATAGAATCATTACTCAATTACCTTTCAATCCATATTTTTTAAAATTTTCTTGGTCAATTTTCAAACTGATAGAAATTTACTGCAAATGAAATCTGACTTCAGGATTTCATAAGTAGAGACAGGTAGACGCAGACCATAGCACAGTTGCCAATAGTTGAAATAGGAATGGGAACTTCAGAAATATTATTTATTTAATAATTCATAAACTCTCAATTATGTATTGGTAATATTCTTAATTTATTTCATTCTTTGCTATAAACATCACATTGCATCTCATGTAAATATAAATATATTCATTAACATTTACAATGAAATAACATGAATAATCAGACAGATTCATCTCGGATTCATATCTGGTATGAGATTATTCATGCATTATTAAATTAAATTATAGTTATTGAAATAAACAACAGATTCAAAAATAATAATAATAAAACAGAAAGCTCATGAAAGGTCCATTATTACATGATGAAAAAAATTAGTGAATGAGAAATCATTCACTCAGGTTTGATTTTCTCTTTGCAAGAGGATATGTTTCTTGACTTTAATTTTGAATTGGATGATATTTGTGCAACTTTTGATATCGTCAGGTAATTTATTGAATTTTGAGATAGCTCTGTGAGTGAACTTTTTTTGACCAAGTGTAGAATTAGCATCATCAAGATGAAACAAGTCATATTGTCTAGTATGATGTTCATGGATTTGAGAATCCCTTACCAATATGAAGTTAGATTTGAGGTGTTTGTTGATAATATCAAAAGAAATTTAGAGATTGTTTATCAGATAGTGTTCTTCCAAAGAAAATGGTATTTGTTTCTTCATAAAGTTGATTTGATGGGGTGTCATATCAAAGACAATACAGTACTTTTAATGCTTTTTCATATAGTGCAGATATTTTGTTGAAATTATTCTTGGAACATGAACCCCAAATATTTATGAGATAGTTTATTTTACTAAGAATGTGAGAGGATAGAACAGTATTTGCTATATTTGGGATAAGTTTTGGACACCTTCTTAGGGCACCAACTATGGGAGAAAGTTTTTCTTTGAGCATGCCAATATGCTTGTCCCATGTTAACTTTTCATCAATTCAAATACCAAGGTATTTGGTATAGGCGGCAGTTTGTTTCAATCTTTCAATTTTTATTCTAATGTTCAAATCAATATTTTGTTTATTTCTTCCATGGAAAATTATATATTGGGTATTATTAAAGTCAAGGGAAAGAAGATTGGAGTATAGCTATTCTTCCATTTTTTTCAAATCCTCATTTATGTCGTTTTCTAAAATGGGTAAGTTTCCTATATTGAGGTTTCTATCTAACTGTGAAGTTTGTTAAAAATTAATATATACGTATTTTTTCTTTTTTTCGTAAGATGAAATTTCACTTCAGAAAAAAATTAATAAAAGAGGAACTTGGCTCCTCCACCATTCCTATGACGTATTTTCTGAAAATCCACATTCACACGCAGAGTTAAAATACGATTGCCTGTGTCAGTACGACGTTGCCGACATTATCATTATGTCTAGATTTTCGGAAAATGTTCTTTGAATGCATAATAACTATATCATAACAGCAATGGGATGTAATAGGTTCTTCAATCCTGCTTTGTCAAGTATTATGAATAATTCCCATAAATCTCTCATTGGCTGAATGAAATTGATTACTAATAAAAAGATAAAATGAGATATTTTGCGATAGTATCCATAATTTTTCACTATCGTTATATTACAATATGTTATTCATAACTTGTCAGTCATTTTTTTGCTAATGAATTCGTTCCTTAATAAAACGGATCTATTTTCTAGGATTGTTGCAGATTATATCTTGCAACAGCGCATAATGGGTGCCGGCTTCATTCTGTTCTGACCGATGGCAGTAAATTAGGAAGGATAGTAGATAGTGATTCATTGATTCAATGACATTTCCGTTTAGGATCGAGCTCTATTCGAGATATTTCAATGCATAAATAACAAAACCATACCTTGTCAGAATGAAGCCAAGTTATGTATGTTTTTGTTTAGCAATTTTACTTCTTCTTCTATTTTTTTCATTCGTTTTTTATTCGATACCTATTCGCTAGCTATATTCTTCACCATCAGCTATTTTCAGACTAGATTCAGAATGCACGTCACAGTTTGCCGCCCCGAAAATTAGAAATTGCTTTAATTTGAAAATGAAAACGACTTGGACTTTATCGTTCGCCATTCCGTACAGCGTGGACATGAAACTGGAGATTTCCGAACTTATTTTATGAAAATTCATCCGAAGGAAACTTCCCCTTTGTTGTCAAATAAAAGTACTGTGTCATCTGCATATATGGCATAGTTTCCTATTAAATTTATTATTGAAACGTTTTGAATTTATAAAAGATACAGAATTGGGCCCAACACTGATCCTTGGGGAACTCCTTTGTTTATATATAGTATTTTAGATTCACAATTATTGATTTAAGTACTGATAGTCCTTTTTTCTAAACATGTTTTCAAGAGATTGTTTCCAGTACCTCTGATGCCCATTGAATTAAGATTTTTCAGGAGAATATTATGGTCAACTGTATCAAATGCTTTTTTTAGGTCCATAAAAATAGCTACTAAATATTAATTAGCTATAAAAAATCCATTGTCTTGTAATTTTTTCTTTTAAATGTTGTGTCTCATTGCATATTATGATGAATTTGTGTTAATAATAATAATTATATTATTTTATACTAGAGGAGATATGTTCTGGTGTCCCTGACAACACGGGATTGTGGGAGTTGTATAAATTGTCTAACCCTTGAAAATTTGTTTAATTGATTCCAGTCTATTTCAAGAAATTGATATGTCATCTTTACAACTTACAGTCATCAACCCTCTACTCAGTTATTTCATGATTCCCTTCCAAGATGAATAATGTTTCTCAGTATTACAATGCCCATATTTTTGTAGGACCTAGACGACCCTTCAATTTTGTTGGGATGCTAGATGATGTAGAAGTTGATGAAATCAATTCACTCATCAAAAAAACAGAATCCAGTCCCAGTAACTATACAATATTTTTCGGACACTTCCCAACATCCTGTATTTTGACTACTAGTGGTACAGAGAGTGCCAGAGATTTGATAGGAAAGCACAAAAAGGGTTTAGTTTATGTTTGTGGACATTTGCACAGGTTGGGTGGACTTGTTCCCAAAATGTACACTTTGCAAAAAGCTGGATTTTTGGAACTGGAACTTGGAGACTGGAAGGATAACAGGGTGTAAGTATATGCAAATATGCAGAGCAAAACAACTTTTGTTCAGATGATCCAATTTTTTACCTATTTGAAATTGGTAAAAATTTCTTTCACATATTACTAGAATGGTGAAAAATGGGTTTTCTGTGACGGGAAGAAAGTTTGGCATTTCATCTCTATTGGCAGGCTATAAAATGTCACTTTTCATAAATTACTTTTTTCCCGTGGGAAAAAAGGTAGTACTTTTTTCCCGGATATATATCACATATATATACACTGTTGATGGCTTTTGTTGTGCTATAGTTCCGAAAAATGAATCAATTATACTGTCTCCCAGAAAGAACTGCAAGTCCTTTTATCTTCCATTCGACTGTGGTTACATATATTACTAAACCACCACTGAATTCGCCATTTTTTGAAATCAAATCACAGAATTAGACTGACAGAAGTAACATCACATATTTGATTTCTTCAAAAGGATGATAAATATGCCTACAAAGCAGGTGTCCCTACTGTTAAAAACTTGAAATTTCACGTCGATAATTTTCAGATCTCGAAATAATATAATATCTTCTCAATATTGATTCGTCCTTTCTTTTGTCACAGAAAAAAATAGTGTATTATACACGGGAAAAATATTAGATTTTAGCTCACAACACAACCTGGAGCTAAAATCTGGTTCTGTCATTAATTTCTATAGCTTTTCATTTTCTCTATTGAAGCTCATGAAAGAGATTCACTATCATGATTCAAAACTCATTACTCAATGAATCAGATGAAGTAAAAGTCTTCTAAGATTGCTTGCCTAGAGAATGAAATATTTAGCACATGCATAAAAAGTGAAATGCATATTCCTGTCCGATTTTTAGCAGACTTTATGCTATAAAGTGATAAATAGTCGGTCCCCAGCGCAAATGTTGCTAAATAATGCCATTCCATAGAAAATGTCCATTTTATGTTGAGATTCTACAGCATCATGAGCAACTTCTGTAGAAAATTATTCCTACTTTACATAATTCTGTGATTCTCATATTTCAAAATCTGCTACTTTTTTCTTATCATGTATAATAAATAACTATTATCAAATGTTTGATAAACATCAAATTCACTTCAAACTCCAAAAAACAATGTGCCGATAGATGATTTTGCACAATGACATTTCTTCAACATGTTATTTGTTCATTTCAGATATCGATTATTAGCAATAGATCATGGAATGTTATCATTCATTGATATTCATCATAGACAATGGCCTGTGGTACTTATAACAACTCCTAAACACGCCCTATTCATGAACCCTGCAAAGGAAAATATCAACATCTTGAGGCATTCTACCAATATAAGGTAGTATGAAAAATATGATGATTTTTATTGATGACATGATAACCAGTGATGAGTGAGAGTCTTCCCTTTATTAATGTTACAAAATCCTCTCTCTATATATAAAATAAATAGTAGTCTGAGAAACTGAAGAAACATGTTTTTATAGATAAAAACAAGAAAATATTAGCACCTCTGCAATCATTATATTCTATGTTGTCTGTTTATTAACTCACTTTCAATATTTTATTTTCTACTGCTTCTTTTTAGTTTGGCTATGTGTAGAAGCGTTTTCCTTTAGGTTTTGAAACTACTATTCATATTTATTTTTTATTTTTAAGTTTGTCCATCGAAATATCGTGTTTTATTTTTTGTAAGTACCAGGGGCGGCGAGTTTTGTTTTGTCCAATGGGAGCCATAATTGAGGGGTCAGGGTAAGACAAAATTATGCGCCGCAGGCGAAAATTTTTCATGGTTCAAGGTCAAATGCCATCAAATTTCAAGATAGATCAAAGCATCATTTATTTTGCATCAAGTGTGAAACACCTCTACCAAAATATAATATTTTGTGACTAATCGGGTTTCGAGTTTATGGTTGATATTTTAATATGAACAAGGATGAGAAATAGAAGAATTTTTTTTTCACCATTGAAAAAAGTGAACATAACTCAAAATTTAAAACGATATTAGAAAATTCAATCTCTACAAAAATAAAATGAGATTTAATAATTCTCATATCTATTCAGTATTCAAAAAATGGAATAGAGAAACTTTGGTATTCGAAAAAATTAGCAAGTAACCCCAGTTAATAATTAATACGGTTCGCATGGTTGTTTACCTATACTTGTCCAGCAACAATGTGCAATATTTACAAGTGCTCATTTCGCCCGTATCTAATTTGTTTTTTATACGTCTGTTTCGGCCAATGGGTGCATTGCACCCATACCCACTGCCTACATGGGTGCATTGGCCCCGATGCCCCCATGCACTCGCCGCCCCTGGTAAGTACCCAATTTTGACGAAAGATCCTCGACCCCGAAAACCCTAAGATACCAATCTTGAATTTCCAAATTTCAACGAAAGAATCATAATCTCCGACCTTGGAAACCCCCAAATACCAATTTCGAATTATAATTCGTCCGCCTTATTGCATCCGCCATCTGGAATTCCCCAATTTTGACCAGGGAATCATAATCTATGAAGCCGAAAACCCCCAGATACAAATTTTGAATAGAATAGGATCATAATTATTACAATTCTCGTTCGCCATATTGGATTCGGCATCTTTAATTTCCCAATTCTGAAGAAAGAATCATAATCTCCGACCCCGAAAACCCTCAGATACCAATTTCAATTAGGATCAGATCATGATTACAAAATCGTCCGTAATATTGTATCCGCCATCTAGAATTTCCTAATTTTGGCCAGGGAATCATTATCTCTGAACCCGAAAACTCCCAGATATCAATTTTGAATAGAATCGAATCATATTTACAAGCCATATTCGATACGCCATCTTGAATTTCCAAATTTTGACGAAAAAATAATAATCTCCGACCCCAAAAATCCCCCGATACGAATTTTGTATAGAATCTGATCATAATTACAAAACTCGGATGCTATATTGGATCAGAATTATGTACACTTGCCAAATTTCAAATCATTCGGACGTTTTGAAGTGGATCAAAATCACGTGCAAAGATTTCGTTAAAATTAAACAAATTCACAAACCAACAAACATACATACCAAGCTAATATAAGCGTGTTAAAAAAGTATAGTTTTCATGTGTACTATGTGTATTCACGTATTCACCCCGAGTGATTCTGTTCAGAATACCATACCCTAATAATAGTCAGAAAGTTTCAACAAAATCAACTTTTTTTCATGGTTGTAAATAGGTAGCGAGAAATTCCTAGCAGCATCTTGGAATTGGTAATACTGCTATTTGACAGTTTTTTGAAGATACCTCTAAGATCGCTGATGAGTTTGTCATTTCTCTTACCATATACCATACCTTTCACTTGAAATATGGTTTGTTAATCTGTGATCAGGGGGTTGTTTAGTTCATGTTGTGTTATCGAGAAATTTGTGAAAATCTCATAATTTTTGAAGTTACTCCAATAACTGAAATGTTGAATTCAAGATGACGCCTCCACGATGGCTTACAAGTATGATATTCCTCATCAGATGGGTATAATTTTATATTTATTAATCAGAAGAATAAGTACAGAATAAAAAATTCTCCAGCTTATATGTAGGTTTTGGGTTTTGTTGTTTGAATATTTCATGTTGAAACCCTGAAGTCAGAAGTATAACAACAAGACAGCTTTTTCTCTCATCACTGGGTATTTTCTCTTGCAAAGACATTAAAGGGGATTCTTCTAGAATTTTAGCCTTTTCCTTGTCAAGGATCGACTTTGTTAAGGTTAAAATTGATGATGGCAGCTGGATACAATGCAAACGGGTGAAAGGTCCCCTGTTTGTAGCTCCGTGGAATCCACATGATTATCTACAAGGGCTCCACAACATTGAGGTAACTATTGATTATTTTTTTGTATATTCGTGCCTAAGGACTCCCAATATTCTCAAGAAACGAAACAAAAAAAATCGAATTAATCCTGTGATGATAAACTGTGGAATGTTTCCATTGTGAAAATATTCACAAAATGAATTGATATAGATTTAGGTTTTCACTTCTTACATAATCTGTGATTTTCTGATGTCAGTCAACTCTTGTTAGTGATATGCATTTTGAAGTTATTGAACTACTCCAAGAAACTATTTTTAACCTTTGTTCATTTGTTTCTCCAACTAGTCAATAATAATTTATTCTCTACCTGCACACTAAGTGTTTGCCATGTTTGATACTCGATATTCATTAGAAATGATTATAATAATAAATCAATATTAAGTTATTCATTGACAACTTTATTTCAACTGACATAAACATCAATGTCCTAACAATCATATCACTTAGACTTAGACTTTAGGATGATATATTCCGAACAGATTATATCAGAGGTGGCTATGTCTTTATTGACTAGTGGTTCATAAAATGACGAAAACTACCTTGAAAAGGAGTAGATAATGGTAGGTTCTAGAGCTAGTGGTGGAAAAAAGCTGTTAACTACCTGGAGACAGTTTAACCATATACATAATAGGTCGTTTATCCTTAATATTTGAACTGATTACTCAGTTATTTCTGAATCTTCATAAAGCTTCTTTTATCATTATCCACTTGTTTGAATTTATGTTGAACTCTTATACACTACACTGTTTTACCACTAACCAAACCGATTTTTTAACGCCTCGACAAGTGTTTCGCTAACTATGTTAGCATCTTCAGGAGAAGATTAAAACTAAATATCCTATTCTAGTGTGCTGCTTATATACTAGGTATATGTTCACCCAACTGAGAAAAATACTAACCGCCAAGTTAATGTTTGTCATGGTTGAGTTCACATGTTAATCTTAATTTTTATTTCACTAAACTATATAGAGGGCTATATGGAATAGGTCCATTATCCTTATTCATTACTGTATTACTATTCTTAAATATCTCTAAGCTTTCATATGCGTCTAGTTTTCTAATGTTATTAACTTGCTTAACTAATTTGAGGTTAGTAATGTGTGTGTTATGATTGTGATTGAACATATGTTCGGCTACACAAGATTTATCTAACCTGCCATATTTTAAATGGGCTGTGTGTTCTTTGAACCTTGTTTTTATGGGTCGCCTGGTTTGGCCTATATATGTTTTATCACAATCATTACAACTTATTTCGTATATTCCCGACTTTTCAAGTGTGTCCACTTTATCTTTCGGATTGCCTAATAAATTGCCTAATTTTGACCCAGATTGATAAACGCTTTCAAAACCTAAGTCTTTGAAAACCTCATCAAGTCCCTTCGTATACTTGGGATTGTACGGGATTGGGATTCTTCTAGAGATCTTTTTATCCGCTTGAAAAGTCGTAGAATATTGGAGTGTTAACTTAAATTTATGTCTACGTATTAATTTATCTACTATTTTGATATAATACCCATTGACGCCAGCCACTTTATAAACAACATTTCTTTCAGCATTGAATCTTTCTTTGCTCAGAGGAAATGAAATCAATCTGTGTACTAGAAAATTTAAACTTGCCATTTTGTGCTGAAAACAGTGATTGGAGTCATTAGGTATGTATCTAAATGTGTTTAGTTTTAATCTTCTCCTGAAGATGCTAACATAGTTAGCGAAACACGTGTCGACGCGTTAAAAAATCGGTTTGGTTGTAAAACAGTGTAGTGTATTATCGTGCCAAAGGTTCCAGTCTTCGATATATCAAGTTGAACTCTTATAATATCTGTTTTATGATGATGTTGAATGTTCCTTAACCCTATAATTTCAATAGTTTCTAGTTTGCCCAACATATATTGAGTTTCAAATTTTTCGAATACTAGTTGAAACTTTTCAGGTTTTCGTAAAAGATGTGGATGGCCGTACGAGGTCTGACTTGCAGCCGTTTTCTTTGGATGGCACTCGACTGTCTTTCGGAGTCTTATCCAAATTAGCTCTTATGACAAATGCAAGCGTGATAGTGAGTGTCTGGTGCAATATTATTTATATTATGGTGATGGTATTTGTATTTCAGTTCAAATCGTTCTTTTACGTGATGATGGTGTTGACAGTATTACCACTGGTGCTCATCAGATACATTCATTTTCTGGTAGCAGGTTCGTATAGGAAATCATCTACGTCTATATTTTAAGTATAATTTGCAGAATGAACAATATGATGACATCTTCATGAACTGCTCAAATAATTTAGTGGACCACACGAATCTTCTATGTTTTTTAAAATGCGATAACTTTTTTGCAAATGAACCGATTTTCAGTCGGAATGCAATGTTCAAAGTATGTTTTTTTCTGTTTAGGATTCATTGTTTGAAACTTCTCGAAGTTTTCTAGTTATGATTCACTAAGTGGCCAAGTGTTACATAAATGAAGAAGTTTAGGAGCTCCATCGAGACATATAGATGACTATCGAAAAATTTTTGATGATATATCGCCTTCCACAACAAATTAAATTTGGAAGAAATTGAATATAATTCGTAACAGGAATGAAAAACTCACCACCGGTCGCTGGTTTCTGGTCTGGTTTTCAGTTTTGTGAAATTTTTTCGTCAAATAATAATACGTCGCTTCTTGGATCTAAAACATAGTTGGTATTATGAGTATTTCGAATTCAAAATATATTGATATTAAAAATCATTTAAGTTACATGGAATAAGAAATTCAAATATATATATAAACTTTTTCTAATTCTGTTGCTGAAACGCGACAACAATTTTCTCCTAAATGAGAAACACTGTATATACCTAACCCATCAGGTGCCTACCCCGGTTGCAACGAGGGTTTACCGATGCCAAGGGTTGATACTCTCCCCTCGTAAGGATACCTGTCGTGTCTTCATAAAGGTGAATATCGAAAAATTTTCCATGATATATCGCCTTCCACAACAAAAATAGAATTTGGAAGAAATATACGAAATAAATCGAATATAATTCGTAACAGGAAAGACAAACTCACTACCGGTCGCTGATTTCTGGTCTGGTTTCCTCTTCTGTGCAATTTTTTCGTCGATAAATAATATGTTGCTTCTTGGGTCTAAAACATTGTATTATGAGTATTTAGAATTACAAATATATTGAGATTCAAAATCATTTAAGTTACATGGAATAAGAAATTGAAATATATATAAGAACTTTTTCTAATTCCGTTGCTGAAACGCGACATATTCTTCTATTACTCAAAAAATGAGCGGAACAGATAGCCAACAATTTCCTCCTAAATGAGAAACACTGTATATACCTAACCCATCAGACGCCTACCCCGGTTGCAACGAGGGTTTACCGATGCCAAGGGTTGATACTCTCCCCTCGTAAGGGTACCTGTCGTGTCTCCATTGAGACATAAAGGTGACTATCGAAACATTTCCTATGATATATCGCCTTCCATAACAAATATAAAATTTGGAAAACATTTTTGAAATAAATCGAATATAATTCGTAACAGGAATAAAAACACGTATCACCGGTCGCTGGTTTCTGGGCTAGTTTCCTCTTATGTGCAATTTTCCCTCAATCAATAACATGTCGTTTCTTCGATCTGAAACATAGTAAGTATCATATCTCGAATTTTTAATGTATTGAGAATTGAGATCACTAAAGTTACTCGGAAATAAACGGAACAGATAGCCAACAATTTTCTCCTTGATGAGAAACAATATAACATGATTGTGAACTCAACCATGACTAACACCAACTTGGTGGTTATTGTCGTTCATGGTTGGGTGGACATCAACCTAGTATATAAGTAGTACACTAGGATAGAATTTTCAGTTTTAATCTTCTCCTGAAGATGCTGACATAGTTAGTGGAACATGTGTCAAGGTGTAAAAAATCGGTTTGGTTAGTGTTGAAACAGCTTGTAGTAAACAATATTCTGATGGCTATATACCGAAGTCTTCCTGCCTTCTGCCAACAACTTCCATGAAAAATGTAAACTTTGATAACTGTTCGAAATTAACCGAATTTCAGTAAGTGATACAATGAATATGAGAAGAAACATCATGATGAGATATGAAATAGGAATACGTGAAGAAACTCACCATTGTGGAATATACAATTTCTTCTCTCAAAGTACTAGTATTCAAAGTTTATTCAGCAATATTCTGCTACTCATTTCACATCAACAATACAATATTCAAATCTAATATCATCATGAATTAGTTTTCGTGAACAGTCCTGTAACAAAAAAATTAAATTATACAAGTACTTTGAAATATTTGGGTTATACATCTATAACTTGTTGCATAATTACAAAGAGTGTCAGTTTGACAGTTGAAATAATCCGACCGCTGAGAGGGAGAATTATTCTGTTAAGCTCACACGATTTGTTATTATGCAGGAAGTTTGAGATGTATAACCATGAATAGTTTGAAGTTCGAATTGTATTCAATGCGATTATTTCTCGAGTAGCTAAAAATATAAATTGGTTATTATGGAAGTAATTATAAATTTCTGATTGACGGAGTTACTCTATTGGTGTAAAATCATAGGAAGATAATAATCAAAGATATATACTGCTCGTCGATAGCTAAGGAATCCACGATATTTAAGGAAAATTATTTTAGGTGACAACGTAGATTGAAAATATTATAAAAGTCGAAAAAAATAATGATTCCATTTTTTCTTGACTAATAATCAGTTCTGATAACTTTACTTCGTCTTATTTCTCAAAAAAGCATCATCGTCATTACTATAATTGCTGAGATTATAATCTGAAATGCGTAGGTGTAAAAAAACTACCGGAGAAACACTAAAACGCCAAATGGGACCATCATGAGTGGCGGGCAGTGTATATCAATACCGAAACTGTAAAAAAAGTAAATCTGAAAGAGATCCTCAAGTAGTATAACATGAAAAATATAATGCGAATCGGCGAAAAGATAATATAACAGTTCTTGTCTAAAATTTGGAGGGCTCAAGAAGAAGAAACCCTAGTCTTTCACGAAAAAAAAGAAGCTCGAAGTTTAGAAATGGTGGCTGGGTCATCTTGAATTTTTCTGAATGGAACAGCTCGTATAATAAATTTTCGAAATACATAAGTAGGATAGATTAAATTGAATCACACTGTATACATGAATAATGGCCTTAAAAATACTGTAATTCAGCAAAATAATCGTTTTTTCATATCGACACTAGTGTCAATATGAATATCATTGAAATTTGTGTTCATATTTCCGGAATGTAAACTGAAAATTGTTATATTGAAAATAATTAGAAGAAATACATTTTGCTTACATTTTGGGTATCACTATGATGGTCACTACATAGGGTCGATACAGAATGTCAAATTGATATTAGGACGAATATGGAATTATTCCTAATTTTTTAAATGTTGTCACAGGTTTCTCCACCAATTGAATCGACCATACACAACACAATCTAATATGCGACTGATGAATTACTGGCTTGATTCATTATTCTGATGACTAATTAGTTACGGCATCCTTCTGATTCATTCCCGAACAATAAAATTTTATCTATGACAGGTGTTGATATGGAAAAATAGTTCTACAGGGGGTGATGAGAAATTCCGGAGGTTTTTCACATATATCTCAGAGCTCTCGTAAAATACGGTTGCTATTGAAAAATACCGTGATGACGTAGTTTTTCTGACACGTATCATTCTTTTTATGTATTGATTGAATTTGAAAGAATGTCCGAATCGAAATGAAATTCGAAGGCTTCGAACGTTCTTTCAAATAATTATTCCTATATACAGGGTGTTTAAAAAAAACTGACCCCCTTGCTAGGGTAGGTAGAACACTGCAAAATAAGTTGGGTTAGCTCAGTGAAAAAATGTAACGGCATCCGTTTTCATGATACAAGGTGTTGAAAAAATGACTTCCGCACATTTTTCACGATTATGTCGAAACTACTGGCAACATTGTAATGAAATTTGGTATAGATGTTTCTTGGAATCTGACACGTACATCGCTTGAATTTGTTTTTATATCTGACGCTCATAGAGGTTCGTACCGAGTAGAACTTTTTTTTGGTTAGATTTTTCAATCCAAATATGATATGAGCTTGAACATCATTCAGTTTTACACCAAGAAGGTACTACTGGTGAAACTCGATACTATGTTCCGTTTTCGAAATATTTCGATTTGAAAATAATGAAGTAGTAATGATGCTAGTATAAAATGAATTTTATTGAGTTCAATTACCTATTTATTCAGATTCAAAAACAATGAAATTATTCTTGTCCTGAAGTTATTTATGCAACAAAGAATCATAAGTAGAAAATTTAGAGATATTTGACTAGAAACATAAAATATTGAATCAGTTAGAGTAAGTGTTCAAAATGTCCTACGTTTCGAAGAATTCACGATTCTATATTCTTTTCTTAAGAATGTATTTTTCTTCTAAACAGTTGAGGATCAGCTGTTAGGTCATTTAAGTGATGTTCAATTATGGCTCAAAGCTCTTGACGTGAATTTACCTATGTAGCATAGACTCTCTGCTCAAGATACAACAAAACTGTGTAATCCATGTTCTTAGTCAAATCTGTTTCGATGTTATTCTTGTGATTCATTGTTAAATCAATAAGCTTAGGTAGCATCAGAAATGTATTGTTGTTTTCAGTTTTCAATAAATAGGTGATAATTTTTCATAAAAGTCGCTCTATTACATAGCTTTATACCAGCAACAGTTATCACTTCATCATTTTCAAATCGAAATATTCCGGAAACGGAACACAGTATCGAATTTTACCAAGAGTACCTTTTGGTGTGAAATTGAATAATGTTTAAGTTCACATCAAATTTGGACTGAAAAATGTAACCTCAAAAAAGTTATGTTCAAAACTACTCGGTACGAACCGTGTAACTAGCGCCCTCTATGAGAGTCAGATATAAAAACAAATTCATGCGATGTGTCAGATTTCAAGAAACATCCATACAAAATTCCATTACAATGTTGCCAGTAGTTTCGGAATAATCGTGAAAAATGTGTAAAAAAATCATTTTTTCAACACCTTGTATCTTGATAAGAGATGCCGTTACGAAATTGTTTTACTGAGTAAACCCAACTTATTTTGCAGTGTTCTACCTACCCTAGTGAGGGAGTCAGTTTTTTTTTAAACACCCTGTATAATTTTCAACGAATTCATTCACTTCTTTACGGGGACACTTAATTCAATGGACGCACTGTATACAAAGCCTATGTGTAATATATTTTTGTATACGGCTTTCCATGGAGATTCCAAGAATTGAATAATATATAGGATGTTTAGTTTGAAAAAATACAAAATTCAAATACAATAGTTATAGGGTTTCATTAGAACTATCAACTAAAATTATTTTCATATCTATAGGGGAAATTAGTAGGTACGTAAAATGTAACTTTTTGTATAGGTCGACAAAAAACAATATTATTCATAAAAATCGTCCAAACATCGATTCACAGGCGGACGGCGCAATACCGAAACTTTTTTCTCTGTCAAACTCATTGAGCATATGGAACTTCTGAACGCGAATATCTTCGTAATCGTTTGAAATAACCCTATCAAACCCGGTTTCATTTCGTTATAATAATCCCTAATCGATTATGGAATAAAATACAGAGTGTTCCATTCCATAGGTTGAAGTGTAAGCATAGTTTTATACTGAACTTTCGCCTAATTAATTATTATTTGAAAATCGGAAGTTGATGTCATTTACAGTAAAACCGAAAGAAGAAAAAAAATCTAAAATGTGAGAAAGTGTCCTCTAGTGAGCGTATTCGATATCTCAAATTTCAGAAATATAGCTGGAAAGACAAAAGAAAAAAAGGGGGATATAGCATTAGTTAGTGTCAGCTGGTATTGGTGAAGACAGCGAATTTCAAATGTTTTCATCGTTATATGGATATATATCGAAGCAAACTACCAACCACGTGAAGAATATCTCCATATTCATATACAGAAACACTTACCATCTTGAGAATATACAACTTTCACACACTCAAATGAAAATGCAATCACCGAATATGAATTTTAATTTTCCAGTCTTGAATAATTCCGAGTTCTTTTTTATATCACTTGAATCGACCGTACACGATGAAATCTATATCGAGACTGCTGATTGGTTTGATTCACAATTTCAATGTCTAATCAGTTACGTCATCCTTTCAACCGATTAATTCCCGAGCAAGTATGACTAAATCGGATATTATCGATAGTTGTTATACGGGGTAGGGTGAAAAGGCATTTAATATACTATTACAGTGTCACCGTTGAAGTCCACATTATATGGTATTTTTTTCAACAGTGGAAATACTTTAAAAATGAAGTTCTCTTTTTTATCAATCGATAGCTGTCGAATCAGACATTTTCATCACAATAGTTTTTGATTCACGTCATATCTTATTTTCAAGTGAAGATGAGAGTGTTTCAAGAAAGTATGGCATTTTTCAGTTTATATTAACAATAATCAGAACCTACATAAACTTATTGATTAACAACTTGAAGAATTAACATCACTTATTTCTACCTCATTTTCGTAACAATCACCGGAAAAATCCTTAAAAACAAAAAGCAGACAGGTCAATAAGGAATATGTCCTCGAGTTTGAATTACAGATCTCAACCGCTGTGGTATCGAATTGATCAAACCCAAGTCGTCTTGAAGAATTGCCTAAAAGTCGAAATGAAAGGCGAATCGTAGCTCTTGAAGAGTCTCTGACAAGACCGGACGAAGGCGAATGAGCCTCTGGAGTTCATCCCTAATATGCTCTATAGGTTCTGAATTGTTAATAAAAATTACAAAATTCCATACTTTCCTAAAACACTTGTATCTTCTTTTAAAACGAATATATTGACGTGAATCTAGAACCATTGTGTTGAGAAGAAGGGACCAAAAAGGATCAATCACACTTCAATTCAAAACATGATGAAGCAGAATATTGGAGAATGGTTCTGAATTATTGTTAATGGAGAAAAATGAATCCATATCTTCTTAAAACACTTGTATCTTATCTTAAAATGTGGTTATCGATGTGATTCGAGACCCATTTTGATAAGAAGGGATCACACTTCAGTCCAAAACATGATGAAGCTAAGTTTATTTGCCCTAGAGCGCTAAAGTGCTACTTCACGTCCGTTAACCCGGGCGATAAAGTGCCACTTAACGCTCGGACGTGCATAATAGTTATTTATGTATCAAGGGCGTAAAGTACATATTAAAATTACCGTACGAATATCGCAATTATCGTAAGAGTAAAACTCTTTGTTCACTAACAGAGATTCATTCCTTGAGATGTAACAATATGTATACTCAGTATATAGCTACCTAAATTTGACGTTGTCAATCAATCTGATGGTTGCTGTCCATTCATAACGATAGAATCAGCTGAGAGTTCAAATATAGGTATTCCACAAATGGATGTGTGGATATAAGGGACTTGAGAACAGCGGGCGGTAAAGTGCACTTTATGACCCGTGGGCGAAAATGGTCCCGCGGGCGGTAAAGTGCTACTTCACGTCCGCCAACCCGGGCGATAAAGTGCCACTTTACGCCCTTACGTGCATAAAAAATCATATGTCCGAAAATCACCTTTGTTTTCCAGGTGGCAAACTGGTGAAACCGAGGGCGAGGAAGTCCTGCTGGTTCTCCTGGTTGCGCAAGATGTGGATCCTCACCACCGTCGATAGGCTCTTCTGGCCCGTCGTCCTCTATCCCGTCTATCTGGCGGTCGGCCCTTGGTCGATAGGGCACATCGTCGAAGAGCACGTGGGCGCCATTTTCGCTTGGGGCATTTACGTCAACGGCACTTTTTTGCCGGGGGCGTTCACTTATTGCTACGGTTTCGTGCAGGTGAATAAATCAGTCAGTTAATCGACAAAAAAATATACCTACTTCATTATCCAAGTAGAGCTCCCTAGCTATTGATGAAACAAGTCATATTGTCTACATAGTATGAAGTTCATGGATTTGGGAATTCCTTTCCTATATGAAGTTATATTATAATATATTATATTTGTTGATAATATCATAAGAAATTTTGAGAGTATTGATCAGATAGTGCTCTTTCAAAGAAAATTTATTCGTTTCTTCATATATTTGATTTGATGGTGTGTCATATCGAAGACGATATAGCACTTTTAATGCTTATATACTTATATAGTACAGATATTTTTTTAAAATTTATTCTTGGCACATGAACCCCAAATATTTATGAGATAGTTCATTTTACTAAGGACTAATGGTATTTGCTATATTTGGGCTAAGTGTTGGACATCTTCTTAGGGCACCAATAATATGGGAGAAAGTTTTTCTTTGAGAATGCCAATAAACTTGTCCTATGTTAACTTTTCATCAATCCAAATACCAAAGTATTTGGTATAGGTAATGTGTTTCAATCTCTCATTTTTAATTCTAATATTCGAATCAATGTCTTGCTTATCTCTTTGATGGAAAGTTATATATTGTGTCTTATTAGAATTAAGAGAAAGAAGATTGGAGTAAAGCCATTCTTCCATTTTCTGTTAATCCTTATTTATATTGTTTTCTAAAATAACAGGGTTTCTGTTTTCAAATAAAAGTACTGTGTCATCTGCATATACGGCATAGTTTCCTATTGAATTGGTTTTTGAAATGTTTTGAATGTATAAACGATACAGAATTGGGTCCAACACTGATCCTTGGGGAACTCCTTTGTTCATATATGTAACAGAGAGATTTTGATAAACGTTTAGTTGCAAGGTCCAGTATCGAACAAACTAAAAGAATAAATCATCATTACTCAAATTGTTTAGGAGGATCAATATATTCACCAAGTCCAATTCCTGGCAAGATCACTTACCTAACACCAGGCAAACGAATATTTCATAGATTGTATCATCAATGATTACTCTCAAAACCACAAGGCTGTTAGCTATATCTGTTACTGACCGACCGCATATAGAAGCTTCGAAGGAAATTTTACAAAAAGTCTGAACAGCGCAAAAAACTATACGGCGATACACATTGTTGATTTTTATATAAAAGTGAATCACGGCGACACTTTTTGCCATTTAGTTAAAGGAATAACTTTCACCATAGTAGATTGCTACATACAGGGTGTTTCAAAAAAACCTAACCCCTTTGCTAGGGTAGGTAGAATACAAAATAAGTTGGGTTTGCTCAGTAAAAAAATGTCGTAACGCCATCCGTTTTCAAGATACAAGGTGTTGAAACAATATTTTTTTTACAAATTTTTTACGATTATGTTGAAACTACTGGCAACATTGTGAATGAAATTTTGTATGGATGTTTCTTGGAATCTGGCACATCGCATGAATTTGTTTTTATATCTGACTCTCATGAGGGCGCTAGTTACACGGTTCGTACCGAGTAGTTTTGAACATAACTTTTTTGAGGTTGGATTTTTCAATCCAAATTTGATGTGAACTTGAACATCATTCAATTTTACACCAAAAAGGTACTCTTGGTAAAACTCGATACTGTGTTCCGTTTTCGGAATATTTCGATTTGAAAATGATGAAGTGGTAACTGTTGCTGGTATAAAGCTATGTATTAGAGTGAGTATTATGAAAAATTATCACCTATCTATTGAAAATCGAAAACAACAATACATTTCCAATGCTGAATTCAATGATTTAACAATGAATCACAAAAATAACATCAAAACAGATTTGACTAAGAAAATGGATTACACAGTTTTGTTGTATCTTGAGCAGAAATTCTATGCTACATAGGTGAATTCACGTCAAGAGCTGTGAGACACAATTGAACATCACTTAAATGACCTAACAGCTGATCCTAAACTGTTCAGAAGAATAATACATTCTTAAAAAAAGAATATAGAATCGTGTATTCCTCGAAACGTTGGACATTTTGAACACTTACTCTAACTGATTCAATATTTCATGTTTCTAGTCAAATATCTCTTAATTTTTTACTTATGATTCTTTGATCCATCAATTACTTCAGCACAATAATGATTTTATTGTTTTTGAACCTGAATAAATAGGTAAATGAACTCAATAAAATTCATTTTATTCCAGCATCATTATTACTACCTTATTTTCAAATCGAAATATTCCGAAAACGGACCATAGTTAACGGGTTTCACTATGAGTACCTTTTTGGTGTAAAATTGAATGATGTTCAAGTTCATATCATATTTGGATTGATAAATCTAACCTCAAAAAAGTTATGTTCAAAACTACTTGGTACGAACCGTGTAACTAGCGCCCTCTACGAGAGTCAGATATAAAAACAAATTTATGCGATGTGCCAGATTCCAAGAAACATCCATACAAAATTTCATTACAATGTTGCCAGTAGTTTCGGAATAATCGTGAAAAATGTGTAAAAAAAATAATTTTTTCAACACCTTGTATCATGAAAACGGATGCCGTTACGACATTTCTTCACAGAGCAAACCCAACTTATTTTCCAATGTTCTACCTACCCTAGCAAGGGGGTTAGGTTTTTTCGAAACACCCTGTATATAGTATTTCAGATTCACAATTATTAATGATTTTAGCACTGATATTCCTTATTTCTAGATATTTTTTCAAGAGATTGTTTCCAATACCTCTGATGTCCGAGTGAATTAATGTTTTTCAGGAGAATGTTGCGGTCAACTGTATCAAATGCTTTTCAAGGTCAATAAGAATAGTTACTACATAAATTCCTTTGTCAAGTCTATCTTGTATAACATTGATTTCTTGTAAAACTGCTGACTGTGTACCACTTTCCTCAACAAAAATTATCACCTTGTCGCTCCTAGATACCGCCTCTACGGAATAGAAGATGGTTCACCTTGTTACTAATCAAGGCTAGCACACAATATTAATCGTTATAGTGGAAGTGAGCCTGATTTTCATATCATTGGAATCTCACTGGAAAGGTTTCTTGCCAACTTGTAAAAGACATTAACTTTTTTTGTTCCGTTTTTTTCAGTTTGTCACCTTCCAAATTCCTTTGACGTGCATAGTAGCCAATGCAGTTTTCTTCAGGTGAGACATTGTATTATAAAATTCTAGTACAAAGGAAGGCACATAATCCATACTACAATTTCATTTACTGCCAACAGGGTTGGAACGACATTTTACTCCAAGAGAAAGTTCCCAAAATGAATCAATTTTCCACCGTATCACTTATTTGAAAATAAATCAAAAAAACTGCTCTAACAAATCATACATTGAAGAGAAAACCCTTGACTTAAAATTTCCTTCAGTTATATTGATTGATTGTCTTCATTACCCCAAGAAACATAGTTGTTTATAATAGGGATACATAAACAATATACATAATGTTATACATACAATTATGAAATACTAATTAGATATAACAAGTAAACAAAAAAAAATGCAAATAATCATGCAATCAACCTTGTCTTTTATAAGTATGGGTATTCAAATAAGAAATGGAATTATCAAAGTCTTTGAAGCAGATATTTTTTCAAGTTAATTTTGAATCTAGTTGCTTCCTGCATATTCCTCAATTGGGTTGGTTATGAGTTGTATAGAACGATTCCTGTGTGATGAATGGATTATTTGCCGATATTTCACTTATACCTATTTGCTATTAGTAAATTTGATAGTCTTGTTCCATGATTCCATGATTATGTAATGAATTAATTTCATTGAAATTTGAATTCGAAATTTTCAATTTATATAGGACAAATCGAATAAAACAACATATTTCAAGTTTGTATAGTGATATCAGATCTAATGAGTCTCTAGGTTCGTATAAATTCATGGTTGATTCTAAAAAATTTAAATCGAAAATACACTTCAATGTTTTATTTTGTAATTCCATTAGTGGACTCAAACGTGAAATATTGGTACTTCCCCATATAGATATTAGGTATTGAAATTTTTAGTAAATAAGAGAGAAATAAATACTCTCCAAGTATCTACTAGAAATGAAATTTCGTATTCTGAATAAAATGCCTGTAATGGGATTGAGTTTGTGAATAAAATGATCTTTATGTTCATTCCACAATAGTAGTTCATCTATATAAAGACCTAACAATTTTGTAACATCTGTATATTTGAAGAGTTTATTGTTGAAGGATAGTGTTCTATTTGAAATGTTCAGTGTTCTTTCTGCTATGTACATATATGAGGATTAATTGTAATTGATAGATAGTTTATGAACTTGTAACCAAGAGGATATTTACTCTAAATCACTTCTCATGTCCATGATAATATTATTTGAATCTTTGGAGAAATAAATCGATGACGTGTCATCTGCAAATAATTTAAGTTTTCCTCTCAATTCCAAGTTCGATAGTGAATTTATGTAGATTAAAAATAAAACTGGTCCCAAGACTGACCCTTGCGGTACACCGCATGAGATGTTCATTAAGGAGCTACAAGTATCACTCACATCAACATTTTGCTCTCTATTACATATATTATACAATAATGTAACAAAGTGAATATAATTTCACTGGATCATTTCATATCATTGAAGGTCACTTGATTTTTCCACAAAATCATCAAGCTAGTAAAATAACTTCCAGGTTTCAAGAACTGCAATCGAAATATGAAAGGAAGGAAACTTTGACTAGAAAGATATGTCGTCACATGCCGTTCACCGTCATTTTCTCGATACAAGTCATAATGGCCTACCTGTTTTGGTTGGCCTACGGCACGATGGCATTCTTCCTGGGCCCCCTTAGAACGTGGTCACTCCTTTTGGCGGCCATTTTGTACTACCAGGCGTTGCATCTTCCAGAAAAATGCATAAGGTCAGTCCGAACTCGATATTCAGAATGTCCAATTGATATTTTTGTGGTGACAGAAAACAAGGATATTTTCGGAAATTAGGCACAATATCTACCATTAAATTACGGTATACCGGATTAACTTGAAAGGGTTGATAGCAAATAGATATTGTTACCTACTAAGAAAACAAATTCAATAGTGGTGAATTAATGAGGGCTAATTGATCGTTAAGTAAAATGAGAGAATTTTTGAGCTTGTTGATTTCTAAGGATTCAAAATGATTGAGTTTCATTACTTTATTTTCTACGTGTAGAATTTCGAAATCATCCTCAAAACTATGGTTCTCTTCTAATATATGGTTGGCGTATGTTGAAATTGTTTTCTTTTTCAAAAAATTCATCTTATGTTCATGAATGCGCTGATTGAATGTACGACCTGTCTGACCGATATACACCGTGTCCCAGCTAAAATGTCCCCCTTGTAAAAAATCAACCGCGCGATCGAATGACTTGAAATTCGGTCACCCAGTATACAGTGCGTCCCACTTACCATGCTCACCATGGGTATCTTTTTAACTGTGAGAAATACGAGGTCGGTTAAATGACACCAAATGTGGAGTTTGTCAAGGCCAACTAAACTGCTCCACATTTGAAGTGAGACAAGCGAACATTTTGTTTGTTTTCGAACCGTGATAACTTTGGATGAGATCAACCGATCTTTGATTAGTTTTGAGATTGTGATTGCCCAGTTGATTGGCTATAACATATTTTTTTTACGTTTCTCCACCATTTCAGAATTATGACCTACAGGATGATATCTGAAAGTGTGATAATTTCCGAAAAGTTTGAGGTCGCCCCGTTAGCAGGATAATTTTTTTAAAATTTTTCTGACGGCAAAAACATGAAGCCTAATGTGTTTCCTCGAATTGGTTTCGGATTCATCAAAATCCATACAGGATGTTTTGAGATATGCAATTTTGAACAACATAATGGCTATTCGAATTTTTTGAATACCTTAAATTCATTGGTTAACCCCTCGGTATAATATGTTGTCTGGGAAATAATCAGAAATTGTCAAACATTTGATTATTGTAATAAAATATGCCACGACTAACTAATGAACAATTACAAATGGTTCTCAGAATGAGAGATGGTGGTTTGAATGTTGAAGACATTGGACAGTATTTCGATACATCAAGAGCTTCAATATACAGGGCAATCCGTCGTCACGATCGAACAGGAGATCCTAATTATCGTCACGGAGGTGGACGACAACGGAAGACTTCAGATAGAAATGATAATTTCTTAGTTACTTCGGTACGTCGTCTTCGAACACAGACTGCTGGACAACTGAACTGTGCACTAAGAAATGCAACAGGAATTGTTGTCTCAGATGAGACAATCAGAAGAAGGCTTCATGAGCGGAATCTGAGAGCGAGAAGGAGGGCATCTTGTACTTTGTTAAAGCTGAACCACAGGATAGCTCGAAGACTTTGGGCTCAGAACCATTTGAACTGGGGAATAGCTGATTGGAGGAGATGTTTATTCGTTGATGAGAGTAGGTGTAATATGTTCAGATCAGATGGAAGGATTTTAGTATGGCGAGAACGGGGTGAGAGGTTTCTGGAGGAAAACATGGAGGCGCGGGTGGCATTTGGGGGTGGGGGTGTTACGATATGGGGCGGTATCATGATGAATCATCGCACCACGTTGGTTATTTTGAGGGAAAGTATGAATGCTGTTCGATATCGTGACATGTGTATAAGAGATGTTGTTATACCAGTTGCTCAAAACTTTGGAGACAACTGGTCGATGATAATGCACGACCACATCGTGCGAGAATTGTAACCGAAGTTCTGAGACAACATAATATTGAAAGAATGGAATGGCCACCCGTATCTCCAGACATGAACCCAATAGAACATGTATGGGCTAGGTTAAAATTATGTTTGAAGAGAAGAGAAGGTGAAATGATGAATATTCAACAACTGGAAGATGCAATAGTGGAAGAATGGACAGCTATTCCCCAAGATTTCATTGATGGCTTGATAACAAGTATGCCGAGAAGAGTTAGGGCTCTCGCAGCGGCCAGGGGTGGTGTAACAAAATATTGATAATCGACCACATCTGCCGTTGTTAATTTTTCTTTATTAAAAAAATATTGTGTTACGTATTATCTGTATTCTCTTCGTGGTATATGTTCATCAATTCTCATTCTCCATATCCACTGAAAAAAAACATCCTAGCTTTGACAATTTTATTCATAAAATAACCACACTCCACATTCACTTTATTCCTCCCTGCGAACTAACTCTGAAGGTTTTTCGTTCAATCACGAAATCACTTTTGCTAATCCATGATATTGCATATCTCAAAACATCCTGTATGGATCTTGATGAATCCGAAACCATTTTGAGGAAACACATTAGGGTTCATGTTTTTGCCGTCAGAAAATTTAAAAAAAAATTATCCTGCTAACGGGGCGACCTCAAACTTTTCGGAAATTATCACACTTTCAGATATCATCCTGTAGGTCATAATTCTGAAATGGTGGAGAAACGTAAAAAAAATATGTTATAGCCAATCAACTGGGCAATCACAATCTCAAAACTAATCAAAGATCGGTTGATCTCATCCAAAGTTATCACGGTTCGAAAACAAACAAAATGTTCGCTTGTCGCACTTCAAATGTGGAGCAGTTTATAATGTGAAAAAATATTTTGATGAAATCTACTCGTTTTTGTTTTATACGCAAAAAACAGATTTTGATCATATTCATGTCTCCCCCGTAACTTCTTTATTTATGAAAATATTCAAATAGGAATTTCACATTCTCATGGCAGTTTTGCAAAGTGATTTCGAAAAAAATATGAAATTTATACCAACTCTTCTAGAATTTGAGATATCAGCACCAACTTTAGTTTTTCAAATGTAGGTCCTAGCTCACTATGACTTAGTTACAAATAACTTTTTTTTACCGCAGTAAAATCCTACTTTACTTCCTTGATACATAAAAGTTATTTAACACACCTCTAGACTCATAAAAGTAAGTTATGCCCTAAATACATACAAACATTTTATGCACAACCGTCTTAGACATTCATTTAATGTCAATATGGAATTTGTTCAATCATGATTTTCAATTCATTTGCTAAATTATGTATACCACTGGCAGAGAAAGATCGAAATGCTAGTCTACTAGAAAATACTGAAAAAACAGTGAAATTACTGTACTTCCGATCACAAACTTTACCGCCCTCCAGACTACTTTACCGTCTGCTGTAATTTTTTATCGCCCTACGGCGCTAAAATGCAACTTTACGCCCGCTAATAAGAGCGCTACTTCACGCCCGGTAGTGCATAAAAAAATAATCTCAAAACATTGACGCTTCCAATGATCGAATGTCATTAATAAATTGATACTATTTTTAGGAGAGCCCTAGAAGTTTGGCATGTGTCTTCTGATGCAAACGTAGAAGAAACTGATCTCAACGTGTCTCCAGCAGAAAAAAGCAACTGAACTGTTGAATACTCGTTTACTTATGTGACTGATTACCTCGTACCCGTCATTCATAGTATTTATTTTTCCTACTATATCTTCCTGTGATTACTGATCCTTCTAGAGGTGTGACTATCATAATTATTATACGTGTAGTGTAATATATGAATTTATCAACCGTTACAGATATCGTTATTTATTTCCTAGCGACAACTTTTTTCAAACGTAGAAAGAAAGCAGAGTTAGAAATAAGTCATGACTTTTATAAACAAGTAAAAAAAAGTCCGACTTTTTGAATAAATTCGGACTTCTTTGAATTAATTCATTTGACAACAAATCGAATTCTATTCACTTGAACAAAATACAAGAACATCGAAAAAACTAAGTTTTTGTTTCCGTTTAAAATCTCAGAGCATAACAATGAAATACTTAAAATATGCGATTTTTGCAATACAAACGATTGAATGAAAAATTATGTTAATGAAACTTATACTACTCATTCACAATCTTCATTATAGAGGGGCTTCACAGTTATTTTCAAAAAACCGGATTAGTGTCACATTGGAAAGAAATTTTTCGTTGCATTGCAAGAAATCAGTCCGGAGCTATTTATTTATATTGCGTAATTTGGTGCAATTCTAGTGGTGACGACATGTTAGATTTTCGGAATTTCACACATCATTATACAGTCTGTCCAAAATAAGGTTGAACAGCATGGGGATCTCGGAAACTGTAGGAGATACGAAGTCGTTTAAATGGGGAAAAAGTTGCGCATTCGGAGGCTCATATCAAGAGCCTTCGAAAATTTTAAAAATTATTTTTAGTTTTTGAGTTATATCGAAAAGAGTGAATTTTTGGAATATCTATTCTATTTTTTTTTCTCCGTTATTATTAGAGATACAGCAAAACTGCGAATACTTTTACATAGCAACTCTTGATGACGTTCAACGTGGTGATACCGATTTTTTTATTGCGACGTTTCGTATTCGTGAAACCATCATCAACTTTTGTTTTTCAAATGCGGTCCTGATAATATTTTCACAGATTCTGAGAGGTTTTTTTTCATTCTGAATTCAACCATGTATTATACAAAGTGGTTTATGTGTGATTCGACCTATTTTCAGCCATCATCAAAGTTTTTTTGAAATTCCAAAGAAAAATGCCATCAGTTCCACTTATTTTGAAGGAAAATTAGTCAGCACACTAATACCTCATCAACTGGTTTCAATCAACAACCCATTTCATTTTGCGGAAACAAAAATTCCATCCATACACATTCAGAATATGTCAAGCGCTAAAACCAGGCGATGACGAAAGGCGCAGGACATTCTGTGAGTGGTATACCAGGAAATGTCAAAATTTTGCAGATTTCTTTCGAACAATCATCTGGACTGATGAAAGCATGGTCACTAATTATGGTAGCTTCGATAGAAAAAATACACATTATTGTTCACGAGAAAATGAACATTTATACATTACAGCGAGACACCAACACCGTTTCGGCTTTAATATGTGGGTTGCAATATTTGGTACACGAATTATTATTCCTTCTATTTACCATGAAACACAGATTTCCGAATGTTATAGAAATTCGCTTGAGAATCATCTTGAGGAAGCTCTGGATGATTTACCGATTGCGGAAGTTCAGAACTGTTGGTTTCAACAAGATGGCGCTCCGGTACATAATTCCAGAGAAGTCCGTGCGTTTTTATCCAGAAAAATGGATTGGTACTCATTCTACAGTCCATTGGCCGGCGCGGTCGCCTGATTTGACATAGCTGGATTTTTTCTTAGGGGATATATCAAACTTTGTATACGCAAATAACTTATTTGATGATGAAGAAGAACTAAGGGACAGTGTCTTCGGAGCATTCAATAGAATAACCCCAGAAATGCTTGGCAATGTCTTAGAAGCAATTGTGAGCAGAGGATATCTTTGTTAAAAAAATAATGGTTATCATTTTGAACATTATTTGTTATGAATGTCTCTGTAGGTATTGTCAAAGTTAAGTTGTTAAAGTAATTTGTGTAAGAATTCATCAACAATTTTAAGCGCTGCATTGATCGAATGATGCAGTGAAATATTTTGAATTCACTTTTCAGTATTGAATAACTAATCCATCAAGTTTGACACTAAATGATCAGGAATGAGTGGAACGACTGATGGCCTTTTTCCTTTGGAAGTTCGAAAAAACATTGATGATGGATAGAAATAGGTCGAAACACATTCGAATCAACTTGTATAATACATGGTTGGATCCGAGAATGAAAAAACCTTTCAGAATCTATGAAAAAATTGTCACGACCGTATTTAAAAAACAAAAGTTGATGATGGTTCCACGGATACGAAACGTCGCATGAAAAAATCGATATCACCACCTTAAACGCCATCAAAAGTTGCCACGAAAAAGTATTTTCAGTTTTTCTGTATCTCTAATAATAAAGGAGGAAAAAAATTAAATAGATATTCCAAAAATGGACTTCTTTCGATATAACTCGAAAACTAAAGATAATTTTTAAAATTTTCGAAGGCTCTTGATATGAGCCTCCGAATGCGCAACTTTTTCCCTATTTGAACGACTTCGTATCTCCTATCGTTTCCGAGATCCCCATGCTGTTCAACCTTATCTTGGACAGACTGTAGATGCATAATATTGGATCTTGATTTTCTTGCCTTTCTCATGGTTTCTTATTCTACCCAACTCTTGACCCAACTCAAAACTCGGTGAGAATACACAGAATCTATGACAAAAAGACATTGCAAGCCGGTAATTCCGATTAAGTGTTGAATAGCCTACATATTATTATTTTTGTTGGAAATAAGAATTGGAACAATCAATTGCATGCAATTTACATGCAATGAAGAATTGTTAACTGTAAAGCGGCACTAAGAAAATTTAGTTTTCCGCGTGTGGTGCTTCACGGTTGTCATTGTCAGATGCCATAGGATATTTCATTTAAAACTAGTTTAAATTGAAGGTAATAATAAGATTTGTTCCCATTTGATGAATTTTGAATCAATTCATGACTTATTTAAAAAAAGTCATTTGAATTAGTTCACGAATAAAATCACTGACTTAATTCATATGAATTAATTCGTGCCAACCCTGAAAGGACGCCATATATGCCATATTTTATGTTTCTTGAACAAAAGTACCGGGTCTTCAACAATGATTATAAACACCACGTGACCATATTCGTATGCAACCAACAATACATTCTTATTATGCCGACGTAGGGAAAAAATAATACAAAACTTGTTAAACCAATATGGCTACGAATTTAAAATTTTTCGGTTGGTTTTAGCGCGTATGTGATTGATTGTGATTGAAATTCGCATATTCGCGTTTTTAGTTCTTCAATTCACTAGTGTTTGTGTTTTCGTTTATTTTTCATAGACTGAACTTTTTCAACGAAATGCAGTAGTTGCGGAGTAAAGAATAGACATCAGGAATCCTCTTCTCATAGGTAAGTTTGAATTTTCAAAAGCTTGGGCTTGCAAATAAGTAGGTAGAGATCGGAAACTGAAAATCATTGAACTGAAAAGTTAGGACACAGGTTAGGATTTAGGAGGAAGGCACGATACTAATAAAGGCTATTTTACCTATTAATAAAAAAAAAATGATTACATTTGATAAAATCCAAAGCTTTGTAGGTAATGGTTGCTTCAACATGAGTTTGACAATGGAGCTTCAGCCTCATCATTTTTTTCATACATTATCAATGGAGTTATCACTCATCCAGCAACAAGCATAAAATATAATGAGTAGAAAAAGTTTGAATCAGTAAATGCCAAGTAGTGTAGTGTAGTCCTTTGTTGCTAAACTGATTTGAGTAGATCACTCTTTCACCACATTGGAAAAGAATATACATATAAAGGTTAACCCTGGCTTATATTCAATATTCAATCTCTGTTCAATACCAAGATCTGAAGCAATAATGTTGGAATAAAGGGTGTGAGTTTCGAGATTCCACCGAACTGATGAATGATATCATTATCGCAGTTCATTTCATTATCATCTGCAATGACTTTCCTGTTCCTCAAAGTTACTGACATTATGTTTTGCTATATTTCAATCACATTATAAAGGAATAAATCGTAGTTGACGGAATCATATAATGTGGTTATTATCAACAATAATTGATGATTTTTAATATTTCATTATGATCAAATAATTATTTCCCTAACAACACGAGTACGTCCCCAGAGACGTCCCAGGGACGTCCTTTATTTTCTACGAGGACGTCCCTGGAATATCCAGTGTTGGGACATGGTACATACTAGGGACGTCCCAGGGACATCCGCTTTCCACAAAAAGAGGCATCCTCGGGATGTCCTTCTGGTACGTCCCTGGGATGTACCACGTACGAAGAAAGGATATCCCTAGGACGTCCCAAGGATATCCCAGGGATATCCCCTCGACAAAAGAAAAAAAAAGTAGTTCGAGTACGGATTGAACCCGGGACCTTTGGCTTATTATCAGGCACGCATCTTACTCCATTGGCTATTGAGCCTCCTGAAGATTTATGTACTAAACAGATTTATAAGCCGGACTTAAGTACAGAAACCTGAATGAATACAACTTTGTTAGGATTTGGGTATAATTATTATATCATTCTTGGGTGTTTAAAAATGAGGGGCATTATGCATGTACGATTTCTGTTTGCGAAAAATGGTAATTTCTTAAGAAGTTCTGAAACTTTATTCTTTATTTTCATTACGATTATTTTCCGGAAAAAAAACAAACATTTTCAAAAAAATGCAACTTAATACTTTGATGGAATTCAATGACTCTGATGTGAATGGATATCAGATATTCCAGGGACACGAATAGGATAACCTAGGGATGTACCGGGCGGGGTGTCCACTGGACAACCACTCCCTGCCAAAAATACCTTATATACGAATAAGTCTCATAAAAAAATATAGATAGAATATGAGTATTAATAAGGATCTATAACCGAGTTCTGTAGCGTATGAGTACGTTATCTCTGGCACATAAACTTTCTGAAAGGTTTAA